TTTCAGTGCCATTGTAACTGAATTGTCACTAAGTGAATTGTTGTAAGTCAAGGACTACTTGTACTTAATGCTCTTTCCTTCCTTCTTTCCTTCCACCATCCTTCTCTCATGCCACATATACACATACAGAAAGTTTTGATCTCTATACATGTAAATTTTAGTATACCGTATTTTTCGGAGTATAAGAGGCACCTACCTTTTTTGGTGAGGAAAAAAAGAAAAAGAAATCTCCCTCTGCCTCTGAGCAATTTTGCCTCCTTACAGCAAACAGCCTGTTTTACTTTCATTTTCGTTTTCAGCATAGCTTGATTAGCACAAGGGAAAAAAAAATCTGCTCCAGCAATTTACCTCTTTGCAGCAAGCAGCAGAGCCTTGTGCAAAACAGCTGAGAGCAAATCAGCTGAGAGTCGGGAGGCGGATCCAATCAACTTGTGCTAATTAGGCTGTGCTGAAGCTGAAAGGAGCTGTTTCTTCTTGCTGTTTGCTTGCAAGGAGGTAACTGCTGCGAGGCAGAGGCCAAAGGGTGGGGTCCAGTGGGTGGGCGGGGGTACATTCAGTCTATAAGACGCACCTAAATTTTCACCCCCTTTTCACGCCTCTTATACTCCGAAAAATATGGTAAGTACCAGTAATAAGTCTTTTTAAAGCTTAGCCTTTCATAATATTTTATAATCTGCTTAGCTCTGCTGAAATGGTTCTTAAAGTTTTTGTAGACTTTAAAATTGAATTTGAATTATAACGGGGGGCTTTCTGGAAGGCTGTATAAGGGTGTACACAGGGGTGATATTCAGTTCCTTCGCTACCGGTTCGCAAATGTGAGCGCGCCCACCGCGCATGCACAAGGCCTTCCGCACATGTGCAGAGCGTCAAAAATGTGGATAAATGGGATGTAATTACATCCGGGCAGGTGGGCGGAGCCACCCGCAGCCACCGCTACTGGTTCGGCCAATCCAGATAGAATTAGCTGAATACCACCACTGGTGTACAAACATTTGGAAGAGTTGCTTTGCACTAGTGCATTTGTAAATATGAAGCACTTCTTTTTGGAGCATTAAAGCAACCACATCCTCTGCTACAGATGCCTTGAAGCAGGGGTGAAATCCAGAAGGTTCTGACAGGTTCTGGAGAACCGGTAGCGGAAATTTCGAGCAGTTCGGAAAACCGTCAAATATCACCTCTGGCTGGCCCCAGAGTGGGGTGGGAATGGAGATTTTGCAATATCCTTCCCCCAGGAGTGAGGTGCGGATGGAGATTTTGCAATATCCTTCCCCCAGGAATGGGGAGGGAATGGGGATTTTTTAAAGTATCCTTTCCCTGGAGTGGGGTGGGAATGGAGATTTTGCAATATCCTTCCCCCAGGAGTGGGGAGGGAATGGGGATTTTTTTAGTATCCTTCCCCTGGAGTGGGGTGGGAATGGAGATTTTGTAGTATCCTTCCCCTGGAGTGGGGTGGGAATGGAGATTTTGTAATATCCTTCCCCTGCCACACCCACCAAGCCATGCCCACAGAACCGGTAGTAAAGAAATTTGGATTTCACCACTGCCTTGAAGACTCCCTGGTTGCTTCTGTAGATGTGTGCATAGGCAGAACACACATTCTTGAGTGTCCTTGAGTGATTGTGCATGTATACACATATGGGGGTAGTTGTAGAGAGCTTTCAGAAGAATTGAATGTATCTTGCAATGGATGCAATTCATTTAATGCATCAATGGGAGATGCTTTATTGGTGTATCCTTGCTTTACAGAGCACCTCCTTAAGCACTTATTATTTGGAGCTTTCAATCCTGATGCAGTTGCTCAGAGAACTTTTTAAATATTGACCACATAATGGCTATGAGCTTGGTTGAAGTCATTTGCTGCTCATTTCTTAATCACTTTTGGAAATTGCTTTTTTAACCTAAAGCCATTATTTTAGAGCACTGGTGAGTCTCCTTCAATATTTAGCCAAAGTAATTTTAAATCCTTGACTTACAACTACAGTTGGGACCAGAATTTCCATTGCTATCCAAACAAGGTGTTAAGTGAGTCATGGCCAATTCAGAACAATTTTTTTTCTATAGTTTTATTCTGGTTTAATGATTTAAAAATGTTTTGTGAATAGACCAATTAGAATGTTGATGTTGGAAAGTTACAAATAGGCTAAGACTCCAGATGGATTTGAAAAAATTTTTTTTCTTTCAAATTAATTATAAGAATCCTTTCCTTGGAAAAACGATTGTTTTGAATTCCTAAAATAAAATGAAAGGATGGGACTTTGAAGGCTGGACATTTAGAGGGCACCAAAAGGAACTAAAAATTACAGTTAAAAGGAGAAGAACACTTAATTTGATTTACAGAACGCAGCAACATATTTTAATATTGGATATATTGAAGGATATGAACAGTGGGCCTAGAAGTTAATTTTAAAAATGTCTGCCTATAGTCTATCTATAAAAATGTTATAGATAGACTATATTTAAGGAAGAGGAATAAGTTTAATCAGACAAGACTGATTTGAATGTGAATTTAAAAATGACAGCCTACAAGAATGATTTGGGAAAAAAGATGCTACATTGGATGTATAAGTAAAACTGGTTGATGTCTTAATAATTAAAATGAATATACAGATAACAGACCTAGAGAGTGATCTGGCTAGCCTTCATATTTTGATTTACAAAGACGTTTTGTTAAAAGGTTTGAAAGGTTTTGTGAAAACGGTCCAAAAGTGAAAAGGAATCAAGTTCTAGGACAGTATTGGAATGGATTAAAAGATAAAAATCGTTAAAAGTAAAAGGAAGGAATATAAAGTTGGTTTATTTAATTAAGGCTAAAAATAGATACATTGTTATCTCTGGTAAGACTTTGATTGACCAGGACTGAACAATGAGGCTTTAAAGTTTGTTTATAGACAAGAGAAAGGAAGAAGAGTTTATTTTATTGTAATTTAAGAGAAAGTGAAAAGTTTCTAAAATTGTTTATATTTATTATGAAGAGGGAAGTAATTTCTTTATACCAGCAGTCCCCAACTTTTACGGCTTGGTGGCCTGGCAGGGGTGGTGGAGGGAAACTGGCAAGTGCAAGTAGTGGGCCGAAGCGCATGGGCGCTGGCCTACAGCTTGTACAATTTGAACTGCATGCACGTATGCTACCCTGCTGCTTGCACAAGTTGAGCTGCATACATGCGCATGTGCGCAGCCAACTGCCCACATGGTCCGATAGTGGGCCATGACCTGGGGTTTGGGGACCCCTGCTTTATACATTTCTCTTTTTTTTACTATTTTTTTTTCTTTTTCCTTTCTATTTTTGTTTTTAGTCTGCATTATTTATCGTGTTTCCCTGAAAATAAGACAAGGTCTTATATTAATTTTTGCTCCAAAAGATGCATTAGGGCTTATTGTCTGGTTGGGGCTTATTTTGGGGGGAAATATAGTACTAAATGCACCCATCTGGCTGACAATCTGGGACTTATTTTGGGGGTAGGGCTTATATTACGAGCATCCTGAAAAATCATGCTAGGACTTATTTTCCAGTTGGGTCTTATTTTCAGGGAAAGAGGGTAGTATTGTTGTAATTATAATCCTTAATAAAAGTATTGTTAAATCCTGGTGCAGTGTTGCTATTCCTGGAAATATTAAATGTGGTTCCTCATTTGGTAACTTCATAAAATGTTGTCCAGTAGCAAAATTGATTCTGATTAATTGTGCAGTCTTTGGAATAACAGTTGAATATGCTATTTTATTACTATATTTTCTTCTATCTCTTTTATCCTGGAATTAGATCCTTGATTTTATTTTTTATATGGTTGTAAGATTAATCAAATAATAAACTATCCATTTATTTTGTTCTTGTAAAATGATAGGTTATTTTAAAAACTGGGAAACTAGTCTCTTTAATATTAAAACATGGTTAACCTAATGGAATGTTTTACTTCATGTGCATTGGACACCCGAGAATGTACAGTAACATTAGTTAAAACTTCCAGGTATTTGAGGATGCTGGCTTGTCAAAAGAAAATAGTAAAAGGGAATTGTACTTAAAAGGGGATTGTACTTAAAAAGCTATCTCAGCTATGCTGAGCCTGGATAGCTCAGCAGACTAATGCATTGTAATTTAACTCCAGCTGTCTGCAATTAGTAAGTTCGAATCTTGCCAGGCTCAAGGTTGACTCAGCCTTCCATCCTTTCTAAGGTAGGTAAATTGAGGACCCAGTTTGTGAGGGCAATAAGCTGACTTTGTAAAAATATACAAAAGTATGAAGGCTATTGCTTAACGCATTGTAAGCCGCCCTGAGTCTCCGGAGAAGGGCGGCATATAAATCAATTTTTTTTTTTATAAAAAAGAATTACATATTTTTATTATTTATTTATTTATTTATTAATCAAATTTCTATACCACCCTACTCCCGAAGGACTCAGGGCGGTGAACAGCCAAGATAAAATACAAATAATACAAATATTAAAAAAATCCCTTAAAATTATTAAATATTTCGGCCGAAACACAGATTAAAACACCCAATTTGTAAAATCACGAATTAAAAAATTTAGAAATTTAAAAGGAGTTAGGCCAGGCCAGCTTGCTGAAATAGAAAAGTTTTGAGAGCATTTTCCCAGATGGATTGACATATTAGCTGGAAATTGTATTCCTATCGCATCTGTTCGTCTTGTGGGCTGGTGCAGAGCCTGAAAATTTTTAGAGAAGTTGAAATACATTGATTGTATGATCTTTTGTATTTGTCTAGTCGATGTATGCACAGAGCAATATATCTTGTTACAATGATTATGTTAATTGGTAATCTTAATTTCAAAATGGTTCAAGATTACTATCTCAGTTATATTAGATAGGCTTGAGGCAAATGTTCTCAGTTGATAATATCAAGCTCAGAAAATGATAATTTCCTAGGCTAGAAAAGGTCAGAAGTGGATCTGCTCGTGTAGCACACTGATGGCAGTTTACTTAATGGGTGGGAAAATTTAAATGCCTACTTCTAATGGCTAAAGTGACATCTGTTTCTTCCCAACAGAGAAAGGAGATTTCATTGCTCTGGATCTTGGTGGCTCTTTCTTCCGAATTTTGAGAGTAAAAGTCTCCCATGAGAAGAAGCAGATGGTGCAAATGGAAACGGAGATTTATGAAACGCCAGAAGATATTATGCACGGCAGTGGAACACGGGTAAATTCTTCTTTAAGTATATTTATTTATTTATTACATGTATTTATATGCCGCCATTCTCCCGAAGGACTCAGGGCGGCGAACACAAGAACATATGATGAATATAATCAATGTTCTGAACGCTTCCCATATTGCTTGTTAAGTTGAGTTCATCTCTTGGGTTTTCTGATACCTAATTCTGAAAAGAAAAACAAAATTAATTTGTAATTTTAATAGTCAAGGAAATGGAATGTTAAAAATCCTAAAACATGTCTCATGACAAGTTAGAAAATATATTTGGCGATAAATTTCCTCTCGTCATTTTCTTGTTGAAAAAAAATGTGGAGAACTCCAGATTTTATTACAAAAATTGTCCTTTTGTAATAATTTCTTCTAGTTCACCTTTATGGCTGTTTTGCTCACTAGCATAGAAAAGTAGAGTGTACATCAAATATGCAATGAAAGCTAGCTGAACTAGCAGACAGACAAGTGATGTCTGATGAGTGTGGATGTATTGGCATAGCTGTGAGTTAAAATATGTATTTCCGTTTATTCTGTTTCTTCATACGGTTTTTATACCCATCTTTATTTTTCTTTACTGTATCCTGGGAAGGGTGAGTATCGTTAAGCATTTTTAAGATGTGACTGTTTGTTTAGAAGAAAATTCTTCAGTACAGTACCTTAGGTAGCAAGTCTTTGCATGCTTACTTGAGAATAAAAAAAATAAATATTTCTTAAAGTTGAACTTGATTCCAATAACTTCATGGATACAGTACATCCCTGTGCATTCTGGGGGGAATAGTGTAGGAATACCTGTACTGATTGCAGCATTCTGCAGTCACATCATTGCAATTTCTGGCAAAAAGGCCTGTTTGTAAGAATGGGTTCGCACTTAGGACAGCAGGGATTGCTTAATGACCATGGATTCACTTAACGACTGCTGGAAACTTGTTCTAACATTGGTTCAGTCAATTTATAACCGTCATGACTTACAACCGAAAATCTATATTGTAACTGGGACCAGTTGTGGTCATAAGTTGAAAACTACCTGTATTCCAACTTTTAACATTACTTGAATGAGATAAGAGAGATGCTAACATCTTTATTCTTTATCTTTATCTTTATTTGATTTATATACCGCCCTACTCCCGAAGGACTCAGGGCAGTGAACAGCCAATACAAAATTTAAAAAACAGAATAAAACCGAATTGAACAATTTGGCCCAGACAGATTTACAACACCCCAATCATTTAAAAACAGATTAAAATTTTCATATTAAAAAAGAAAAAGGGAAAAGATTATTAAAAGTATTGGCTGCTCAAATATTGTAATAAATGTATTTGAGCTGTTTTGATTAAAAGTAATAATAAGCAAAATGTAAACAAGGTTAGAGGTGCCCGAACATATTGCTTGTTCTGTGTTCAGATGGTATTCATTAATAGAACAACCATAAGCAAATGAGTGTGTTTGCAACTAACCAGCTTTTGTGTTGAAGCATGCTGTGTGAACCCAGTCAGTGGGTGTTACAAGGGAGGGTTTCTACAGGAGGGCCAAAGCAGTCTGTTTTAGGGAAACAGGTCAGCAAGGAGTTAAACTTCGTTTTCATATCTGATGCACCTTTGCCTAATTGCCATATTTTGTTGTACGGTAGATCTTCTGTGTTAATTTTTTTTTTACCAAAGGACTTTTCTGTCTTGATCCTTATGTATACATTTTGCAGCCAGCAGCTCAAGCTGCGGACATTATATGGATGGTTGGTGAAGCCAAGGAAGGCAGGAGAATTTCTCCTACTTCCTCCACTTAAATCTCCTATGTAAGTTACAGAATTGGTATCTGCTGTCACTGATGCTGCTTTTTTTTTTTGAAACCTACACGACACCTTCCATTGCCATTTCTCTTGCTTTTCCCAAGATGTACATTCATGACTGGGGTTCTTGTGAGCCCTGGCGGCATGGCTGTTGAGCCTAAAGGATGATGATTTGGACTGTTTGCCAGTGGCGCTCTTTGGCATCCTTTGGTCATTGCTAATGCAAAAATTCTTAGTTTGAGACAGTCGATGCCAAGATTATTTCTGTTTTTGCTGCTGATTAGTTCTTGAAAACTTTAATCTGGTTGCTTCCAGCATGATCGTGGCAGAACGAGAAAGCATCTTTGGTGGTACTATGGTCAAAGGTCCTGATTTGCATCATGGGTTGTTTTTACGGAAGTACCTCACCTGTTTTTTTTTTGTAGGCATCACACAATTTGTGCGTTAGCACGTGCAACAGCTGATAAATTTTCAGCAGTTACTTAAAAGCTATGTTAGCTGTTGGTATCGGATGAATTATAATAGTGATGAAAACCCCTTTGGGCTTGGTGTATCAAAAATTTGGAAAGTGCCTAACTTGACTCTTCCTAGATTGTCAGCACAGCTTCCTCCCTGAATAAAAGAGCGACAGTTCTCTATTTCTCCCTGTCCCTACTATACAATCTAGGTCAGGGGTCACTAACCTTTCGGACCTCAGGGAGCACTAAATTCATAATTTTAAATCCCACGGACCACTAATATGATCTGCCTAATGACCGGCTGGGTGGGTGTGGCTAGGTGGTCATGTGACTGGGTGGGCATGGCCAACTCGATGTCACTTGCATCAAGGGTTGCCTCGCCAGCCTCTACTCCTCCCCTACCAGCTACTCCTCGCCTGCCAGCCTGAGCTCCTTAAGGCGCCAACAGGAAGCAGTTGTTGGAGCTAAGCAGCCACCACGAGAAAGAGTTGGCAAAACAGCTGGCTCAGTTCAAATTGGATCTGGCTGAGAAGGAGGCTCAGCAGAAGCACCTCACTGAGGACTACGAGCATAGGCTTTCCAAGCAGAGGGAAGACCTGTGGGAGTGCAAGGCCATGTACTGCCTGGAGGCTCAGTGGGCTGAGATGGTCAGCCAGGTCCAGGCCATGATGCAGTCCCACTGGAACGAGACCCTCTGGCTCTTCGCCACCAGCGGCGCTTCCCTCCAGCCTTTGCCCAAAGCCCTGCACCAGGAGGCTGAAGCAGACTCCAAGTCAGAATTTCTGCCCCCCTCCGACCCACACAAAAAGACCCCGAAGGGGGAGACTCTCTGCAGCAACACAAACATCAACAGACTAGAGCTTACCCGAGACTGCTGTGGTCACACGAGAGGTCTTCATTCTTGGCGCAGCAGCTTTGGAAAAATGCTCTTCCATGACATCTGCGGTCTCCAGAAACCTTGTGAAAGCGCCCCATGTTCTCGCATGATTTTCAGAGGCTCTGGAGGCCACACAATTTCTCGAGGGTCTGAAGACCGCATGAGAATGGGGCATGCTTTCGAGTGTAGCTGTCATGTTGGTGAACATCGGCATAAATGCTACCGATAATATGCCATACAGGACATTGTGGTGCATCAGCTTTGACACAGGTGTATTAGGTTTGCCATTGTAGAGACCACACACACAAAGGTTGACGATATATGTGGTAACTTTATTGTCTTACATAGTGACCTTATATAGTTTGTTACTACAAATTACAGCAGTACTTGGCAACATCTCATTGGCTCACAGAATCCTTTAGGTAACTAGAATCTTTACCGTTTTCCTAAGCACTTATAATGATATCTAGGGTTAACACACATCCTACTTCCTTTCCTCCTGTTCCTCTTGTTTATATGGTTAGGGTCTTAATGCCATTTCCTGGCACCTACATGTGAGTAACCTTCCTTATCTGAGGTTTGCCATCCAAGATAAGGAAACAGTTCTACACATAGCAGACTACAGGCTCCTACATGCCATCAAAGATATATCAATTCCCAGGTTGGGTACTTTATTCTTTCATATTTTTTTTAATGAAGGTCAAATCATTTAAATTAATGCATTATGACTTGCCATTAATTTCAGGTTTGATTCTACTTGGCAAATGACCTTTGATTTCCTGGTGACTTTTAACAATTTGGGAGACTTAATAGATCTGATCACGTTAAGATGCAGGTCATCAGTTTTTTTTTTTGTTTTGTTTTAAATCTCAAAACAGGAAATATTATCTTGGTCTTCCCTAGCTGGCACTTGTTAGGGGTCACAGCTGTTCTGGAATTTTGAAGTCTTGGTGCATCTGGAAGATGAAATGGTCATGTTACTTACAGCTTTAACTTTGCCGAAGATGTACATAAAGGATGTTTTTCCTGAACGTTGAGGGAAAATAAATGAGAGGAATGTGGTTAAAGAGCTTTGTAAAAAAAATGAACTAATTTGCATTTTGCTTAATGAAGATGAACTGTTGGTGAAGATGGTCTGACACTGTAGTTCAGCTATATTATTGTATTGGGCTGCTAGTTCCTACCGTGTTTTCCCGAAAAATAAGACCCTGTCTTATTTTATTTTATTTTTTTTAAAATTTGATTTATATGCTGCCCTTCTCCGGAGACTCAGGGCGGTTTACAATGTGCTCAACAATAGCCTTCATCCTTTTGTATATTTATACAAAGTCAGCTTATTGCCCCCACAGCTGTGTCCTCAATTTACCTACCTTAGAAAGGATGGAAGGCTGAGTCAACCTTGAGCCTTGGCGAGATTCGAACCTGCAGTAATTGCAGGCAGCTGGTCTTAATAACCAGCTTAATAACAGGGTGCCTTAGACCACTGTACTACCAAGGCTCTTTCAATTATATTTTTTTGAACCCCGAAATAAGCGCTTGGCCTTATTTTCAGGGTGGTTTTATTATTTTGAGGCGTGTGGAGCAAGATGGGGCTCCTCTTGCCATCTTAACTGATTTCTAGTTCTGCGTTTAAATATTTTCAGGGCGAGGCTTATTTTAGCGCATGCGCTCAAAAGCCCGATTGGGCTTATTATCAGGGGATGTCTTATTTTCGGGGAAACAGGGTATTTCCCTTTCGTAGCGCTTGTTGTCAGATCTATTCCATAGCATGGGAAGAAACACAGCCTTGAAATCATATTCTAGTCAAACTCTGCATCATTTGCCTGCATTATGCTACATTAAATACACACCCATTTTGCATGTTAAATATTAAGCAATTTCTGGGTGTAAGAAACCAATCAAGTGTGATATAAAAAAAAGAAATTATCCTAATCTGGAGTTGTGGTCTCCCAACAACAATGCAATAATCCACTGTTGTCAAGAAAGTAATGGTTATGGGTTCTTTAATTATTTTATTCATTTTTATATTATGGCTTGTAATGCATTTCTACTAGTGTAATTAATATTATTAAATTACTTAACTTTCTTTTGTCTTTGTTTTCCTTCCTTCTCAGCTCTTTGATCATGTTGCTGAATGTCTGGGAGACTTTATGGAGAAACAAGAAATTAAGGACAAGAAATTACCTGTTGGGTTCACATTTTCATTCCCATGTAGGCAAACTAAACTAGATGAGGTATGTCTAATCACAGGTTTGCAAAACCTACATTGTGGGTAGAACATAGGAAACTGTTTTTATAAAGTGGGTGCATTCCAGGGTGGATAAAAATCAATGATTTTTTTAAAAAAATTAAAAAATCAGATTTTTTTGATTTAAATCGGATTTTTTTTATTTTTATCGAATTTATTTTAATAAAAAACTTTTGGGGTAAAAATCTATCGTAAGATAGTTTTCTATTTAAGATACATAAATAATTTAGTTTATTCAGCATGAAATGGAGCTTAGTTATGTAGCATGAGGCTGTATATTCTGCAACACTGGGACTATAGGTGAGTTTAACAGTGGGTCAAAGGAGTAGCAGAGATGACAGTTGCTCTTTAAAAATTATGATTTAAATCAAGTTGATTTAAATCAAGCCTTTTTACTAGTGATTTAAATTGTGATTTAAATCAACTCGATTTAAATCAAATCCACCCTGGTGCATTCACTGGGTGTATTCACTTCAGACTTAGCTTTCTGGTGTTTAAATGGTGAATATATCTCCTAGGAACTCTATCAGGCCAACAACTGTTATTGCAGCCTATCACAGCTTTATAGAGTGAATTTATGGTTCTTCTTAGATTAGTTGGATTAAGTTTATAATAGAGGGGTGATTTGTAAGAAGCCTTAGGAATCAACAGTTGCATGAGATCCTAGAAAGGTGTTCTTAATGTATTATGTGATAGTCACTGAGTACCTTACTGAACTATTTAGAGCTACAGAAGAGGCAATTAAAATTATAATAGCTTTGTATCAACAAATGTGGAGTGAAATGGTGCGATCTAAAATTTGAAAAAAGTTGTGAACACCAAAGAAACAGATACCCAGATTACAAAATCACTAAGCTCGTTCTCAATGCTAGCAAAGTTTTGTGTAGGATCTTATAAAGAAAAATAGGCACCTGCAAAGGGTCAGAAATGCTGCATTAATAGGAAAGTTTCCAAAAAGGCAGAGGGACACGTCATAAGTTAACTAGCCTGAAACAAATAATGGAGATAACGAGAATATAATATTTCCTTTCGTTTCATTGACTTCAACAAGGCCTTTAACTGTGTAGATCAGTGGTTTTCTGGCTCGTGAATTCTGGGATTTGAAGTCCATACAACTTTAAGTTGCCAAAGTTGAGAAATACTGGGGCTAGAATATGTGTGCGTGTAATTAGGAATTATGAAGGATTGTGTAGAATGAGGAGGAAAATGAGAGAGGAATTTCCCGGACATTTGTAGCACATATAAAAAATGGCAAGATAGAAAAAGATGGAAAAACTTTAACAATTTGAGATTGTTAAGGAATCAAACCTGATTTGCTGTCACTAACCACTTCTTATGTAAATATGGCCAAGTTTTCTTATTTGCTCTTCAGGATTTTCTAAAAGTTGCTTGCTGGCTATACCAGAAGATGGTTCAGGTTTTATTAGGGACTTCCTAATCAACATTTATACTTTCTTAGCTGGAAGAATCTGACAATATGAATATAATATAGCATTATAATAAGAGGTACTATTCTGTTATCAAGACGACAGTGCAGTTGCTTCAGAAAGCAATTGAATGAAAGCCATCTTCAAAATTTAGTACTGTGAAGTTCTCAGAAGCTGCAGAACTTCATGTATGCATCACTTTATATCAAGATCAGTGAAATTCCATGCAAATCCTTGGGAAGAATTTGCAGATGAGCACAAGTATATTTTTGAATGCAATTGCTCGGTCCCAGAATTGGGGGGGGGGGGGGGGTTGTTAAAATGGGGGGTCAAAAAAATGGCAAGAATGAGCAAGGGGCTATTTATACACTGGCATTGCTTATATTCCGATCGATAAATCTAAATGATCCAAAATAAAATATTGTAATTTAACTTTGTTTTTACTTGTATTAAGTACCTAACTTGGAATTTCAATAAGTGGACACACAAGAAGTTGGCTGACATCGCCCCCCCCCACCTCCTTTGGATTGATTTTCCATTATTTTAAATGGTATTTTAAATAAGTGATGTGCTGGTGGAAAGAAGTGTCATGAATGTCTTCTAATTTGGCTAGTGTGGTAATAGTTCAATTTTTCTAGGGTGTTTTGATTACCTGGACAAAACGTTTCAAAGCAAGTGGTGTCGAAGGAGCTGATGTAGTGAGTCTCTTAAACAAAGCCATCAAGAAACGTGGGGTAAGCATGTATTTTGGCTATCTGTATAAAGCATATATGAATTGACTGATTTTTGACATACATTGTTAGGTGAATTAGATCTCTTTTGCTGTTGTTTTTCACTGTCATTGGAAAATAGCAATAGCATTTAGACTTATATACCGCTTCACAGTGCTTTACAGCCCTCTCTAAGCAGTTTACAGAGTCAGCATATTGCCCCCAACAATCTGGGTCCTCATTTTACTGATCTTGGAAGGATGGAAGGCTGAGTCAACCTTGAACCGGTAGGACTCGAACTGCCAAACTGCTGGCAGCCGGCAGTCAGCAGAAGTAACCTGCAGTACTGCATTCTAACCACTGTGCCACTTGTTTATTTAAAAGCATTTTTATTCCTAGCAAAATTATTCCTTGACTTGTGGACTTCAACATTCCTTGACTTGTGGACTTCAACTCCCAGAATTCCCCAGCCAGCATGTCTGGCTGGAGAATTCTGGGAATTAAAGTCCATAGGTTTTAAAGTGGCCAAAGTTTGAGACCCCTGCTTTAAATAACCCACTCTGAAGTAACATAAATTGTTGCATTATAACTTCTTTGACCTATTTTATGTAGAAATAAGTCTATTCGTAATCCCCATTGAATGAGAATTATTCTCAAGCCATTGTGGTAAGAACATACATTTATGTTAGAATGCTCGTTTAACAAAGCTGCAAATCACATTCGATTTTTTTTTTATTGGTCCCAAATTGGTTACAACTAGGACTGAGTCACAAAGTCTTTGACTTTTTGATGAGGGGCTTTTTTGAGAAGGATATAATGCTACATTTCAAGGAGACAATCTGTCTTGTGTATAGCAATAAGAAGAAAATGCAATACCATGATCTGTTGCCTGACCTAATGATATTGGGGCTGACACTTGAGATGCCAAAGTTTGTGGGGTTTGACATTTAGAATATCCAGATCAACATTGATAATTAAATTGTCTGATATGTAAGAAAATGCTCTGTTTCATTCTAAAGGATTATGATGCGGACATCATGGCAGTGGTTAATGACACTGTTGGGACAATGATGACGTGCGGATTTGATGACCAGCGTTGCGAAGTTGGCTTAATTATCGGTACTAATTCTTTGTTCAGAATCACTCATAGTAGAATTTTGATTTTGCATTTGTGATGACATGATCCCATTTGCTTCTTTTAAAGGTACTGGTACAAATGCCTGCTACATGGAGGAAATGAGGCACATTGATCTGGTGGAAGGTGACGAAGGCCGCATGTGCATCAACACAGAATGGGGTGCATTTGGAGATGATGGTTTATTAGAAGACATCCGGACTGAATTTGATAGAGAGATTGACCGGGGTTCCCTTAATCCTGGGAAGCAACTGTAATTGGAAATAATTATCTTACATAGTCTAATCCTGTGTTTCTCTTTAAGATGTGGCAACTTTAATAAGATGTGTGGACTTCAACTTCCAGAATTCCTTGCCCAGCTATGTTGGCTAGGGAATTCTGGGAGTTGAAGTCCACACATCTTAAAAGTAGTCAAGGTCACGAAACATTGGTCTTATCTAGGGGTGTCAAACTCTATTTCATTGAGGGCCACATCAGGGTTGTGTTTGACCTCGGGAGGCCGGGGTGGATGTGGCCAGCTTGACGTCACTCGTGTCAGGGGCCTGTGGTGGTCCAAGTGCTCTGCCAGCGAAAATGGGCTTCTGAGCTCCGTTTGTTGCTGTGACAGCCTCCTGCAACCCTCTGCCAGCAAAAACTGAGCTCAGGAGCACCATAGGCCGGTCCTTTGCTATTTCCAAGGCGGCCCTGTGGACCAGATAAAAGCACCCCATGTCTAATCTAAAAGAGTTCCTTTCAGATTCTTAGCTCTGGGCACGGATGAAACCTAAAATTTGTTACTACCGGTTCCATGGGCGTGGCTTGGTGGGTGGGGGGAGTAATGTGACTGGGTGGGCATGGCCAACTTTTTTTTTTTTACTTTTAAAAGCATTTTTTCTACAACCTTAAGAGGTTGCAGAAAAAAATGCTTTTAGAAGCCTCTGACGATCAGGCAAGTCAGCTGGGATCGCCAGAGGCCTTTAAAGGCATTTTTTTCCCTACAACCTCTTCGGCCAAAGGGGTTGCAGAAAAAAATGCTTTGTAAAACCTCTGACAATCCCAGCTGAGCTGTGTGATCATCAGAGGCTTTTTTAAAAAAAAAAACTTTTAAAAGCATTTTTTGGCCGAAGAGGTTGTAGAAAAATGCTTTTAAAAGTAAAAAAAAAAAAACAGCCTCTGATGATTGCGCGGCACAGCTGGGCATGGGGGGGGGGTGGCGCAGGGATTTTTACTACTGGTTCTCCGAACCACCCGCCATCATCGCTACCGGATTGGGCGATCCGGTCCGAACCGGGAGCATTTTACCCGTCTGGACACCTTTGGACAATTTCTTGGTTAGTTCCATTAAACCTTCAGCATTCAATTTTTTAATTAATTACACTGTTCAGTTGGAATTGGCACAGAACCAACAGTTCTTAGTTGGAATTCCTTTCAGCGTTCATACTGTCAGTCTTTCCCTGCTCCCTTGCCCCAAAGATAGTGTCACTAAAACTCTGTGACATAATCCAGCAGAAAAGTAATGAAATTATGCAAGTGTTCAGACAGGCTTAATAAAGACAGAAAACGTATTAAAGGAATGGTCTTATTCACGGGCATGATGTTATGATATCAACATCATGTGTTTCTAAAGCTTTGGGCTGTTTGAAATAACACCAAAGAAAGTGAAAACAGATGGCTGTAGTGTTAAAAAAAAAAGGCTACAGGTAATCCTCAATTTACAACTGGTTGCTTAACAAGCATTTGAAGTCACAATAACTCCACCCCCCCAAAGTTACTTACAATCTAGTTTTGATAGCTGGCACCTCCTGCCCTTTGGAGTCGTATGACTGTAGTTTGGGTACTTGGTGACTGATCTGCATTTACAGCTGTTTGCAGTGTCCTGTGGTCATGTGACTGTAATTTGCACACACACCCCCACCCCACCCCCCAAATATGGAACTTTTTACATGGATACATAGATTTTAAACATAAAACTGCAACCTTATATATTCTGAGTAGGATGCTCTTTTGAGTATTAGTTTGAATGACTGATTTTTTGTGTGTGTGTGAAATCTCTTTTCAGATTTGAGAAGATGGTCAGCGGAATGTACATGGGTGAACTTGTCAGGCTTATCCTTGTCAAAATGGCCAAAGAAGGTCTCCTTTTTGAGGGGCGAATCACTCCTGAACTTTTGACCAAAGGGAAATTGGAAACTAAGGATGTTTCTGCCATAGAGAAGTAAGTGCTTTAGAAGCTTCCTATAGAATAGAATAGAATAGAATAGAATAGAATAGAATAGAATAGAATAGAATAGCATAGCATTGCAGAGCAGAGCAGAGCAGAGCAGAGCAGAGCAGAGCAGAGCAGAACAGAACAGAACAACAGAACAGAATAGAATTCTTTATTGGCCAAGTGTGATTGGACACACAAGGAATTTGTCTTCAGTGCATATGCTCTCAGTGTACATAAAAAGACAAGATACATTCATCAAGAATCATAAGGTTCTACACTTAAATTCAAAACTCTAGGTTTTGAAATGGATTTAATCCATCAGTGGGTTTTAAGAATAATTATTGGCTAACTTAATAGTGCTATAGATTTGTGCTTAGTTGTAAGTACAGTGAATCCATTGAAATAAACGAGATAATATTAGTCACGATTCACTTTAATGTCATTCATTTCATTAGTCCGTTGAAGTACAACCAAACTTGCATTTAATCCATGTTTTAAAAAAATTAAATTATAGTATTAGCCAGTGTTAATTTTGCAGCATTCAGAGATCATTCAAGATGAATCGGGTTGAAGATGGCCAACAATTTTAATGAATCTGCAAGATTCTAAATTACAGAAATTGTGAATATTTCATTTATTCTGTATTTTTTTCTGAATAGTTGCCATTGTTTTCAGACTGCATATTGTTAAACATCACTGATGTATATGTCTGAAGTCTGTATCTGAATCTGCTTTTGACTTTACCTTTTGAATGCATCTCAGCAGCCTTGAGAATTAGACCTGTTGTTCTAATAATTAGAATTCTGAAGGGTTGATCATATTTGTAGGCCATATTCCAATTATTAGAAGCCCAGATATGGCTCAGTAGTTGTATTTTGTTTGCCAACAACTTCAGGAGCAGGCCACCGATTGAAGCATTGAGTTTGCATTTATGGAAATATTTTCTTCTTGTTAAGTTTAAAACTGTTTGCTTCCACGACAGTTTGGGCACTGTAACATCTTTTAATTCATATTGTTACGTCCCCCCATCCACCCACCCACCCATCCATATCCCTATGTTTTTTGCACAAACACAAACATTGTGTCATAGGGTTTTGGGAGGGGAGGACACATGTCTGAATTGAAGAAAATAATAATAAGCATTGATACAAACACCATTAATAGCAAAATAGTGCAATATATCACTGCAGCAAGGAAGAAATAAATTTCAATGTATGCCTCAGCATTTGATTTTTTAAAAAGTTTTTTCCTGTCTGGGTAGCTTATTTAAAGGAAAGACATCACAAATAATGTTCCTAATTGATTGTTGCATAATGGTTTTAAAATCAATGACCTCTTTCCAAATTCATTACAACATTGCAGAACTGAACACCCTTTGAGAAGAATGTCATTGTTTTGTTTTGTTTTGTTCGTTTGTTTTATTAAATTTATATACCGCCCTACTCCCGAAGGACTCAGGGCGGTGAACAGGCACAGAATAAAATACATAAATACAAAAGTTAGAAACATAATTAAAACCAAATTAAATAATTTAGCCCAAGACAATTAAAAATCCCAATAATTTAAAACAAATTAAAATTTCAATTTAAAAATTTAAAAGAAAGGGGAGAAAATTAGGCCAGGCCGGCTTGCTGGAATAGGAGGGTCTTAAGAGCACGGCGGAAAGTGCGCCAATCCGGGATCCTCCGTATCTCCGGGGGGAGCTTGTTCCAGATAGTGGGTGCCCCCACAGAGAAGGCTCTCCCCCTGGGGGCCGCCAGTCGACACTGCTTGGCTGTCGGCACCCGGAGGAGCCCCGCTCTAATGAGAGTGTACCGGCTGGTGGGAGGCTGTTTGTGGTAGTAGGCGGTCCCGTAAATAACCAGGTCCTAAGCCATGGAGCGCTCTAAAGGTGGTAACCAAAACCTTGAAGCACACCCGGAAGACCACCGGGAGCCAGTGCAGCTTTCATTGTGTTTTATCGGACATAATGTCCAGTTGTGTCCATCAAGGCTTCCCATCTCTCTCTCGAACCCTCATGAAATTCTCATGACGCCTTCAGGGAGAGATTATTATTATAACCCATTCTCAGATTCTTCCAACATTTCCTGCAACTTGAAATGAGTAACTTGCTGTCCGATTGTCATGTTATTAAATTAATGAATTTTAGAACCTTGTATTGTGTTCGCTTCTGGTTTTAGGAGCAAGGAAGGTTTGCATAAAGCCAAAGACATACTGACACGTCTTGGGGTTGAGCCTTCCCATGAAGACTGCATCGCCGTCCAGCACGTGTGCACCATTGTGTCATTCCGCTCTGCGAACCTGGTGGCAAGTACTCTTGGTGCTATCCTGAATCAGCTGCGGGACAATAAAGGAGTTGGCCGGCTGCGCACCACAGTGGGGGTGGACGGATCCCTTTACAAGATGCATCCACAGTAAGATCTTGTGCAGTTTCCATAATTATATCTTGGCACCTGTTAAGAGTCATCTCTAGCAAAGGTCAGCTACGCAGCACATCATGCTGGCATCTGATACGCACTCTGAACTTGAGCTAAATAAACAGAATTCTTCATAGAGAGAAAGGCGGATGGTTAATAATGCAGGCTAGAATCTGAAAAATAGTTAAAATAGAATCTTTTTTTTTTTTTTGATGAGATGACAGCTATATCAATTTGATAAATAAATAAACAGTATACTGTATATATGAGGACGCTCCATATCCTAATAGGGATAGCTCCTTTTACAATATTTGTAAACTGGTTGCCACCTAGGCCCTTAAGCATCTCTGCAATATGCAAAGCTCTGTAGCTTCTATTGTATTTCGCTGAGTATTTGTAGGAGAAAAGCAGACAGAACTGGGGAATGAAGTTACCGTATTTTTCGGAGTATAAGATGCACCTTCCCCCCCCCCAAAAAAGAGGGTGAAAATCTGGGTGTGTCTTATATTCCGAAAACAGAGATTTCAGAGGCTGAAAGAAGCTTCAGAAAAAAAGCCTCTGAAACGAAGCTTCAGAAAAAAAGCCTCCAAACAGAGCTTCAGAAAAAAAGCCTCTGAAAGGCTTTTATCTAAAATAATATGGCAAGCAACAAAAGTAGAATCAGTAAAGGTTCTAACCAAACTATGCTAACAAATCTGAAGAATGACACAATAACCAACAGATTGGAAGAATTCAATCTATATACCAATACCAAAGAAAAGAGATTGAACAAAGTACAAATAGTCCTTCAGAATAAAAGCCTCTGAAAGAAGCTTCAGAAAAAAACAAGAGATCCAAGTGCAGCCCCCTTTGAATTCTGTTGATTCTTATCTAGTACTTATTTAGTGCTGTCTGTTAGTTGATCAGATTTTTTTGTGTCTTAGTTTGCACAAATCGTCTATGCTGCAGCTTTATGAATGATCCTGATTCTTTGTGCCTGATATTATTCCATGGGTGCACATGCATGAAGGAATGGGGAAGGTGGCTTCCAGAGGTGGGATTCACATACTGCAGCAACTGGTTCGCCCAGCACCGGAAATGTGAGCGCGCACATGCTTGCGGCATCACAAAACATGGCAATTCGCTCTCATGCGCCATCCACACATGGTGCAGCGTCAAAAACACAGCAATATAGGACGGGATTGTGCCTGGGTGGGTAGGCGGCCACCTGCAGGTCATCACTACCGGTTCACCTGAACCGGTCCAAACCGGCTGAATACCGCCTCTAGTGGCTTCCCATGCTTTCTCCCCTCTTTATCTATTCAGGATCTAATTAATAATTGTATGGGAGATGTTCAGGAAATCCTAGGGTTCTAAGAAACCTTAAGGGACTGAAAAATACCCTGGAAGAAGACAGTGTGGTCTGTCTATATGTCCACTCTCCCTCCCTCCCATCCATCAATTCTATTTAGACACCCAATCAACTCCAAACTGATTTGGTTAACACACAATAAAATAAACAATAAAATCACAAAAAAAAGATAAGAAGATGCGATCTGGTTGGTCTACATCAGGGAGGTCAAACTTGATTTCATTGAGGGCCGCATCAGGGTTGTGTTTGACCTCAAGGGGGGGCCAGTGTGGGTGTGGCCACCTCAGCGTCAATCGTGTCAGTGGCACCTGTGGCCCGAGCGCTCTGCCAATGAAAACGGGCGCCTGAGCTCCATTTTCGGCTGCGGTGGCTTCCTGCAACCCTCTGCCAGTGTAAACAGAGCTCAGGAGGGCCGCCTGCAGCCCTCCTGAGCTCTGTTTTCGCTGGCAGAGGCACCATGGGTTGGTCCTTTGCTGTTTCCAGGGCGGCCCTGTGGGCCAGATCTAAGCACCCCGTGAACCGGATTTGGATCCCAGGCCTTGAGTTTGACACCCCTAATCTACATAAAAACATAGACCAAAAGGCATTCAGCAGGGGGCTCCAACCATCTTAAGTCAAGGCCCGGAAGACCTCCAGGTTTTCAAGGCGTTATGGAACGCCAACGGAGTAGGAGTCCTATGGATATTAAGAGGCCCTTGATTCCAAAGGGCAGGCACTGTGCAACAGAGAAGGTATGCTTCCAGTAGATGGTCCTGTTTTATCAAAGGCATCCAGAGCATGCCAACTCTGCTGGCTTGTATTTGCTGGGCATAAACAATGGTACGTAGGCAGTTCCTCAAATAATCTGGACCCGTTCCATGTAGGGCTTTGCAGATGATGACCAGTAATGTAGATTATGCCCTAAAGCAGGGGTCTCCAACCTTGGCAACGTTAAGACTTGTGGACTTCAACTCCTAGAATTCCTTAACCACTACACCAAACTGGCTTAGTTACTCCTAGATACCATATGAATTGCTTTCATGCCTTTGTATGAGGAGAGATGCTGGTTAGCATGATGGGAGTATTGCTGAAGATGGCACAGGCACAAGGTGAGCCAGACTTCAGCTGTGAGCTATGAATGTGGTTGTCAATTCACAAAGCATCCCTGGTTTGCTCTTGAGTTGCCATAGGCCAGTGGGGATGGCACGGCAGCCAAAGACAGATGCATATTCCAGATTTATCTCTCTCAAGGCTGTATCCCAGGGTTACCCACAGCAGCCCAGAGGGGAGTGACCTCCACAACCTGCGAAATTGCTGCATTGGCGAATGTGATTGATGACACACCCTGGGGGGAGTGGGGGGTTGGGTGGAAACAGGGTCATGATTGGGGTGTAAATTACGTAGGGTCAGAGCTGGCTTCACTTGGGAACCTACTGACATGAAGCTCCTAATAAATAACTGGATTTCTTTTGAAGCTTGGCTCCAGAATCATGCTTTAATTAGGGCATCCGTGGGAACCCTGACAGCGGTTATGTTGTGCATTAAACAAAAGATGAATGTAACCCTCGTTTTTCCCCTTTTTGTTCTTTAGATACTCCAGGCGCTTGCACAAAACGATACGGCGCTTAGTGCCTGATTCCGATGTGCGTTTCTTGCTCTCTGAGAGTGGCAGCGGGAAGGGGGCGGCCTTCGTGACCGCAGTAGCTTATCGGCTGTCGGAGCAGCACCGGTTGATTGCAGAGACCCTGGCAGAATTCAAGCTCACCAACGAACAGCTGCTTCAGGTGAAGAAGCGGATGAGGATCGAGATAGAGGCCGGCCTCAAGAGGAAGTCACATGACCATGCCAAGGTCAAGATGCTGCCCACCTTTGTCCGCAGCACCCCTGATGGGACAGGTAGCTCTCTCATGACCTTTAGGGGGAGACTTTTGATCTGATGCCCATTAGATATGTCAGAATACAGCCTCCATAAACCCCAACAAGTATATGACCATGGTGATCCGTCCCCATCCACACACACACACAAACACAGCCAGCTGAGGGTTAAGGAAGCACTTGGCACACACCCAGGTCTTTATCTCCAACTTGGCAGCGATATACACACCGTCTGCCAAGTGCTTTATTTCCACAGAAACAGAAAGATAATATACTCAGTGTACAAGAGTCCAACAAAAATAAATATTCCTCTCAGCAGTTTCGGACGAGGCTTTAGTGACTATCCAAGGTTTATTTTTGTTCGTCACAGGGATCACTAGCCACCACCCTCTATTATATAGTCTCTGGGGAGTGGTCCAGTGACTCAGTTCTAATCCCTAGCACGCCTCCTGAGCTGCTGCAATCGTTTATCACGCCTTCGGAGGCATGTGTCCAGGAATGATGTCTCTCCTTCACTCTCATCCGAGCCACCTGTCTCCCTGCTAATCTCCTCTCCCTCGGCCGGCACCTGAGACAGTGCCAGAGGGGAGGGGTCTGGAGAGGGAGGCCTGGCTGACTCCTCTTCCTCATGCTCGGAGCTTTCTTCCTCCGATGGGATAGGCTCAGAGGGCGGGGCCACAACACATGGTCTGGAATTACGGGTATGGAAATCAAAAAATAAAAACCCCAGATTGATGCAGAATGAAGATTAAAAGAAGAAGAAGAAGAAGAAATAAGGCTAGAACCCACCAATCAAAGATCTATTGGTTGTCAATCCACAAATTCTGTAATTTTCCTGAGATATTGATACACATACTTCGATATGCATGCTGGCTAGCTGGGGAATTCTGGGATAATCAGTGGAATGGCTTGCCCCCAGAGGTTGTGAGTGCTCCATCACTGGAGGTTTATAAGAAGAGACTGGACAGCCATTTGGCCAGAATGGTATAGGGCAGTGATGGCTAACTTTTTCCGAACCGAGTGCCCTAAGCGTGCGCGCGTGTGAATGCACAGAGCGCGCGTCCGAACCCCCAACATGCAGTGCACACGCGGCCTCAGCGCAACCCCTGTGCACGCCCCAGCACACATGCCCTGCCCCTGTGCATGCGTGGCAGAGGCCCGACAACCAACTGGCTTGCAGGAGGCGCGCTTGCATGCGCGGCAGCTGAATTGGGGCGATGGCTGGCGTGCCCACAGAGAGGGCGCTGCATGCCACCTATGGCACATGTGCCTTTGGTTCGCCACCATGGGTATAGGGTCTCCTGCCTGAGTAAGAGATTGGACTAGAAGACCTCTAAAGTCCCTTCTCTGTTATTCTGTATTCTATTCTATACCCCTTTCAATTGTAATAGACCTGCAGCGCCATCTAGTGGCAAACCTTATCTGATGCACCTCAGTCATATTCAGCATTGTTCAGCAATCCAAATTTTGTTGGTGTGAGATGGGTGAAATCCAACAGGTTCTGAAAGGTTCTGGTAGTGGAAATTTTGAGCAGTTTGGAGAACCTGCAAATACCACCTCTGGCTGGCCCCAGAGTGAGGTGGGAATGGAGACTTTGCAATATCCTTTCCCCAGGAATAGGGAGGGAATATGGATTTTGCAATATCCTTCCCCTGCCTCACCCACCAAGCCACACCACGCCCACCAAGCCACGCCCACAGAACTGGTAGTAAAAAAAATTGGATTTCACCACTGGTGTAAGACGTTAATATTAAAATACTATATGCCTCAACGTCCTGCATTTTCAATACATTTTAGGCCAATTGACCAATTGGGAAGATACATGTTTGATTTTGTTATTTCAATAAACTTTTTCAAAATGGCTCTATATAGTATATATAGTTTAGTTAGTCTAGTGAAAAGGACTAGGGGTGACATGATAGCAGTGTTTCAATATTTGAGGGGCTGCCACAAAGAAGAGGGGGTCAGCCTATTTTCCAAAGTACTTGAGGGTAGGACAGGAAACAATGAGTGAAAACTAATCAAGGAGAGAAACTACCTAGAACTAAGGAGAAATTTCCCAACAGTGAGAACCATAAACCAGTCAAACAATTTGCCTTCAGAAGTTGTAGATGCTCCATCACTGGAGATTTTAAAGAAGTGACTTGACAGCCACTTGTCTGAAATGGCATAGGGCCGTGATGGCGAACTTATGGCACGCGTGCCACAGGTGGCACACGGAGCCATATCTGTGGGCACACGAGTGTTGCCCTAGCTCAACTCCAGCCAGTATGTGCGTGCTGGCCAGCTGATTTTCGGGCCTTCCGGGCCCACCGGAAGTCGGGAAACGAGCTGTTTCCGGCCTCCGGAGGGCCTCCGGGGGGATGGGGAAGGCCGTTTTTGCCCTCTCCAGGTTCCTAGAAAGCCTCTGGAGCCTGGAGAAGGTGAAAAATGGGCCTACTGGGCCCACTGTGCCATCACCTGCCAAAAGCGGAGGTTGTGGATACATGCGCGGGGGGCATTGAATTATAGGTGTGGGCACACGCATGCGTGAACCCCCCGCACTCCCCCCGCTTTTGGCACGTGGCAGCAAAAAGGTTAGCCATCACTGGCATAAGGTCTCCTACTCAAGCAGTGGGTTGGACTAGAAGACCTCCAAGGTCCATTCCAACTCTGTTATTCTGTTATATTAATTAGCTGTATTAATAATATTAATTGATAGTCCAGTGTCTATTCTTGGGAAGACTTGTACAGGGAAAGGCAAGTGAAATGCAGTATTTTCCTCCTCCAATGGCCATCCTGATGTCTATGAGATATTTACCAGCAGGCCGCATCACCATCTCCAACAGAATTTAATGTCTTTATTCCTAATGTTTAAAACTCCTTTGTTTGCAGAGAATGGAGACTTCCTGGCTCTGGATCTCGGTGGGACAAATTTCCGTGTTTTGCTGGTGAAGATCCGAAGTGGTAAAAGAAGGATGGTGGAAATGCACAATAAAATATATTCAATCCCTGTAGAGGTTATGCAGGGGACGGGAGAAGAGGTGAGCATTACATGAAGAAAATAAGTAATATTATTATTTGTTAAATGCAATTTTGAAAACAAGAACCTATATCTCATGATAGGAATTTCCTTCTCTTTTTAGCTGTTCGATCACATTGTCACGTGCATTTCGGACTTCTTGGATTACATGGGAATAAAAGGAGCTCGCCTCCCTCTGGGCTTTACGTTTTCTTTTCCCTGCAAACAGACCAGCCTAGATTGTGTAAGTGACTCTTGTTGTTTACAAACGTAAAGTTTTCATATTTTTGACCTCCGCACGCCCTGTTTTGGGGGCTTTTTTTGGCCTTTTTTTAGCCCATTTTCAAGACTTTTTTCTGCCTTTTTAGAGGCTTTTTTGGGTCTGTTTTGGGGGCTTTTTTGGCCCATTTTCAGGGCTTTTCTCAGCCTGTTTTTGAGGCTTTTTTCTGCCCGTTTTTGAGGCTTTTTTCTGCCCGTTTTTTGGGGGGAAATGGGCCAAAAAAGCCTAGAAAATGGGTCCAAAAAAGCCTCAAAAACAGGCCAAAAAGCCCCAAAAATGGGCTGCAAAAAGCCTCGAAAATGGGCAGAAAAAAGCTCCCAAAACGGGCTGAAAAAATGGACCAAAAAGCCCCGGAAACAGGCTGAAAAAAGACTGGAAAAGGCCCGAAGAAAGGTAGCCAAAAATGTTTTTTTGTTGTTTTCCTCTTCTAAATTTAGGTGCGTCTTATAGTCCAAAAAATACGGTAGCTTAGTCTAACATTCCACAGGTGTGGCATAGATGTCATGGACAGTTTTCTTAATGCCATCTTTTTCCAATCAAATGGCAACTAAACCAATTGGAACTGCGGGGCCAAAGAAATTTTGGGAGTTTTAATCCCAAAATTATTATTGGGCATGCAATAATAAATGGCTGTCGTATGTGTTCATTAGTTGTTTAGGTCCAGTATTGCTTCTGGTGGCTATTTCTGGTTTGTTCTAATAACACATGTCAGGCGTGAGCTTTATTTCTTTATTTCGTTTTTCAGGGTATCCTTTTGACTTGGACCAAGGGTTTTAAGGCTACTGACTGTGAAGGAGAGGATGTTGTTAATTTGCTAAGAGATGGAATTAAAAGAAGAGAGGTGAGTTATATATCTGTTTTTGGTTCAAGATTGAAGGATTGTGATAATTTAAAAATTAATATATTGTTGGTTGAATCACCGATGTATCCCCTACATTGTTTAAAATATAGTACATACCCTGTTTTCCCCAAAATAAGACATCCCCTGATAATAAGCCCAATCGAGCTTTTGAGCGCATGGCAATAAGGCCAAGCGCTTATTTCAGGGTTCAAAGAAATATAAGACAGGGTCTTAATTTTGGAGAAACATGGTTATAAAGTGAAGGATGTGCAAAAAAAAAATATGCTGGTGAAATTGGCCTTTGATGGTGATTTAATACATATCTGGTGTACCCAAAAATTATGTAAATGAGCTTCCTATTGAATCATTATTGCTAACATTTTAGAATATGTTGCTTTTTGGTAAAATCTGTCAAAAGAGTATAACCAGAAGTGTTCATTGAGGGAATATTAAATGATAAAAGCTAGATGTAGGTCATAAGGAAGTGGTTGAAGCTTTGTCTCTGTACATGTGTTGAATGTACAAAACATTTATAAAGGGGGGAAAGCTTCAATTGCATGATCATGGCTTCCATCTTGCTTTTTTTTTTTTTTTGACACGTACAATCCCGATGCCCCAGGAAATAATGGATTGAATTCCACATTCCATTCCTGAAGATTGGCCTTTTTCTATTAGAGACCCCAATATTAAGATCTATCCTAATTTGAATCAGATTATAGCAGAGTGTAGTGTAGTGATTAAGGCTCCCAGCCAGGAAACTGAGTTCTAGTCCCACCTTATGCTCATGGAACAATCACTCGCCCTAAGTAGAAGGTAATTTCAAACCACTTCTGAAATCATTCATTCATTTGTTCACTCATTGATTCGTTTGTTCTGTTCATTCATATCCCACCTTTATTATTAGAATAGAATAACAGAGTTGGAAGGGACCTTGGAGGTCTTCTAGTCCAACCCCCTGGTTAGGCAGGAAACCCTACACCACTTCAGTCAAATGGTTATCCAACATCTTCTTAAAAACTTCCAGTGTTGGAGCATCTACAACCTCTGGAGGCAAGTAGTTCCACTGATTAATTGTTCTAACTGTCAGGAAATTTCTCCTTAGTTCTAAGTTGCTTCTCTCCTTGATTAGATTCCACCCATTGCTTCTTGTCCTGCCCTCAGGTGCTTTGGAGAATAGCTTGACTCCCTCTTCTTTGTTGCAGCCCCTGAGATATTGGAACACTGCTATCATGTTTCCCCTAGTCCTTCTTTTCATCAGTCTAGACATACCCAGTTCCTGCAACCGTTCTTCATACAAGTGACTCAAAGCAGGAAACATGTCCAACACACCTTCCTCTTCCTGTTTTCCCTATAACAATAACCCTGTGAGGTGGGTTGAGCTAAGAGAGATAGACTGGCTCAAAATCACCCTGTTGGCTTTCATGGCCAAGGGCAAGACTTGAACTTATGATTTCCTGCTTTCTAGCCTGGTGCCTTAACAACTAGATCAAGCTGAAATTTTCAGGAATTTGTCCAGGTAGTTAGTTACCAGGAGTCAACAATGACTCTTAAGGCACCAAAAAAAGCAGTACCCTAAAACATAGGTAAGTTGGGAGCATAGCAATGAGACTAACTCTTAATAGGCATAGATAGCATTAACTGCTCTAGGAGCAGAATGTTAATTTGGAGAACTATGGAATATTTCAGACCTGACTGACCAGGCCATCCTGAGCCAGTATGGAATGGCTAGGACAGAATGTCCAGAGGAGATACAGAACATTCTGGAAGGGCAGGTTTTGCAGCTCCCTGTTAGTCATGCAGTAGCATGAAGGATTGGGAGACAAAAAAGGATTACCACAAGGTTCATGCATTTAAGTCTGTATTTTCACCCATTCTTCTTACTATTGGAAAGTATCAGGAAAGTGTTCTGGAAGAAGGGAGAAACTATATTTTTTAATACTTAATTTTTTCATTTTTTGGAATTGTTAAACAGCCTCAGCTAACTACTTTTATTTATTTATTTTCATAGTTGGTGTATACATTTCTTCCCTTTGCTAATAGAGCCATGAAAGGACCATAAATTTGCAATATAAATCGCCATATAGACTAATCTTTTCTAAACTGATGCCTTCCAACTAGTTGGATCTAAACTTTGTATTGTCCCTGTTGACTACAAATGCTGGGAATTGTAGTCCTAAAATATCTGGAGGACTCTAGATTGCCTTAGAGATTCATTTTAAGCTTAAATTAAAATGAACAAGAATTAGGATTAATTAATTAATTAATTAATTTATTGGTTTGATTTATATGTTGCCCTTCTCCAGAGACTCAGGGTGGCTTACAATGTGTTAAGCAATAGCCTTCATACTTTTGTATATACTTGCTTAGTAGGGCTTTCGGCCCCCCCAAGCGGTGTTCTTTTTTATACAAAGTCAGCTTATTACCCCCACAATCCGGGTCCTCATTTTACCTACCTCGAAAGGATGGAAGGTTGAGTCAACCTTGAGCCTGGTGAGATTTGAACTTGCAGTAATTGCAGGCAGCTGGTGCTACTTAACAGCACTTTAGTCTGCTGCACCACCAAAGCTCTTCAATCCCATATAACTGTGATGATGAACCTATGACACGCGTGCCGGAGGTGGCACGCAGAGACCTCTCTGGGGGCACGTGCGCCGCCGTCACCTGCTCTCTGGTTTCAGATGCGCGCGGGCCAGCTGGTCTTCACAAGTGCCGGAGCGCTGGAAAATGGCCCAAAAAACAGCCAAAAAGCAGGTTTCTTAGTTAAAACGATACCCTGCTGGAAGTCTTCTGCTGTTACTAACTCCTAAATAAACCTTTGTAATATGAACTCAGCTTTTATTCCCTTAAGATTATCTGTTTTATTCTAGGCTGCTACCAGAAGACAGGCCTAGTTTTTTCCAGACCCTTCAAGTCAGCTTGCAGTTAACATTTCTATGACATTTCCTCAGCCTAGCATTCTCAGGTTGTAGAGGAAGGTGCTGGGTTGATATGTGGCTGTAATTTGTAAGTAGTATCAAGAATCTGAAAGTCTGTAGAGATTCTCAGTCATCCAAGTCATAGTTGTCCCAAAGGTGCAGCGAAACGTCTTCAAAAGAAAAAACAAGGAAGTCCAGTTGCCTCCTGAAAAAGCACCTTTGAAAGTATCAAGAATGTTTCATTTCTACCAATTAAAAGAAAATCCTCTTTTCATGATCATTAGGATATTGGCAAAAAAGCAGAGAACAGATAATAAATGCTGGGTTGACTCTCTCCTTTTTTTTTTGCAAATAAAATAATGGTGTAACCATTTTTTATTTTAAATTTGATTTATATGCCGCCCTTCTCCGGAGACTCAGGGCGGCTTACAATGCGTTAAGCAATAGCCTTCATACTTTTGTATATTTATACAAAGTCAGCTTATTGCCCCCACAAACTGGGTCCTCAATTTACCTACCTTAGAAAGGATGGAAGGCTGAGTCGACCTTGAGCCTGGTGAGAATTGAACTCGCAGTAATTGCAGGCAGCTGGATGTTAAATGCTGCCTTAGGAGGCATTAGCCTCCTACGCCACTCAGGCTCCTTTTTTTTTTTGTCTCTTTCAAGGAATTTGAACTGGATGTTGTGGCTGTCGTGAATGATACTGTTGGAACTATGATGACTTGTGCCTATGAAGATCCGAATTGTGAAATAGGACTCATTGTGGGTATGTCTGCGACTTGCTTTAAATGTTGCTGAGGAACGTAATGGTATTTATACAACAGGTCCTGTTTTCAACCATGCCAAAAACTTCCTTTTTATTTTAATAATTCTACTTTATATTCTAACTGACTTGACATTTACATTTGTCAAACCAGAAGCTTTTCTAGAAACAGTTGTATTTCCAGTCCTTAGTATCAATTCCCCTGGGGAGTGGGATTTTCCCTCCATATGTGATTTCAGAAGGTAGATAAGAGTAGATCTTGACAAGAACAACATTCAGCTATGCTGGGGAGAAGCTTTTTGACAAGTATTATTTAGGGAATAAACAAAAATCTAGAATTCAGTTTGAGTGGAAGGTATTTTTATCTCCACCTCTGGGTTTGTATCATGACCACAAGATACGTGTTTTTTTGTCTCTGGGGTCTCTGCCCCCTTTGGGATGTCCATGACATTTTTGACAGCCTTCAAGTTAAGAAAGCCGCATGTCCCTGCTCTTGGACGATAAGAAAAAACTCTGGTTGTGAGCCTTTTTATTTCCAAATTCCAGGAACTGGGAGCAATGCCTGCTACATGGAGGAAGCCAGAAATATTGAAATGGTGGAAGGAGACCAAGGCAGGATGTGTGTAAACATGGAATGGGGTGCCTTTGGGGACAACGGATGCTTAGATGACATCAGGACGATCTATGACAAAGCTGTGGATGAGTTTTCGTTAAATAGCGGCAAGCAAAGGTAGGTCCTGATGAGAAATGTGAAGTCGTGTGGCTTTCTTTTGCGGCGAAGGTGGTTATCCCAAGTTGTGTGCCGTACTGTTGGAGAACAGAAGGGTGTACAAGTCAGCCAGAGACTGAGCGCTTACAGTCAGAATGCAGATGTGTGTGTCAGCAAAACTACTGTGGTTTCTTTTACAAGATCCTGATGATAACATCAAGAACATCACCCAAAAATCTAGCGTGAAGTCAGAAATATTTTTATCTGCCACCATGAAAGATGGGTAACAACCATACTGTTGTGACCTAGGCTCACTTAGTCATTACAAGACACAATTAGTCCCAAACAATCCTATTTAATTATAACAGCTGAGAATTACTTCATTCCCAGCTTAGTCCAAATTAATTTCAAACCAAGTCTTTCAGAAGAAGTCCTTTGGGCTTATCACAAACCTTTATCTTCTTTGGCACCCTGCCAAAGGTCTTTCTTGGCAAAGCCTCACGAAGTTCAGAAACAAGAGACGCCGACTGGAAACAGATTTAGCAACGTTGCTTTTCTACAAAGAGCCCAAGAGCTTTTGCTGCTCTTTTAAGCCTTATGGGAGGGGACAATCATCTCCTGGCCTTACTCCTGAGTCGTCCTTTTTGCTTTAGCTGCTCTTGCCTTCTGGCAGCTCTGCGCATGCTCCTCCTGTTCCTCTGCCTCTCTGCTGTCTGACTCTGGAGGCTCTGGAGTCCGTGCATCACTCCCAGATGGCCCTGGTCCCATCTCTCCCTCCGACGCAGAGCCCTTGTCCGGGGCTTCCCCAGACTCCTCACTATCCGACTCCACTGCCAGCTCCGCAGGCTGCTGGTGGACCACAACACATACTTAAATTGAAACGGGCTAGGACTTTCCAAAGTCAGCAATGTAGTCTCTGAGCATGCTCAGGAAACTTTATGGTGGAATGAGAAATAACAGCTGTTGGTTCGGGAAATAACAGGTTTTGATTCCTGATCGACATGGAAGAATAGAAAGAACAAATTGCTATCATCGCCCCCCCCCCCCTTTTTTTTTTTTTTTCCAGGATAAAAGCATGCTTTTTCTCTTTCCTCCCTTTGGCCAGTACTCTGCCAATTCATTGGTCATTTAGTAAGCATTTGCAGTTATGGCAGTGTTGAAAATGTAACTTTGCAACTACCGTATTTTTTGGACTATAAGACGCACTTTTTTTGTCTCCCAAAAGGAGGTGAAAATGTCTGCTGCGTCTTATAAACCGAATATTGCCGAAGCCTCGCTCACCCACCGGCCCTTTTTTTGGCCTCCCCATGCCCCGTTTTTGAGGCTTTTTTCGGCCTGTTTTTGAGGCTTTTTTGGCCCACTTTTGAGGCTTTTTTCAGCCTATTTTCAAGGCTTTTTTCGCCCCATTTTTTTTAAAAAAAAAAACAGGCTGAAAAAAGCCCCAAAAAGGGCCAAAAATGGGGCGCACAGAGGCCAAAAGCCATTTTTTATTGTTTTCCTCTTCTAAATTTAGATGCGTCTTATAGTCAGGTGCATCTTATAGTCTGAAAAAATACGGTAATCCTTGCACCTAGGACATTGACAGGTCTGTAAAGCAAAGGAAAGCTGAAGTAATATTGTGAAGTATGGTCGTGGTTTCCCTTACAGAGCATTTCATTTAATGATCAAGTTGCTGGCTCCTCTTGTGGTTGCTAAATGAGAACTACCCATTTAGGAAAAATCAGAGGGAATTGGAAATCTGCAGAGTGGAAGGATTGTCATATTCATTAGCAGATATAAAAGGCACAAGGGTTAGGGTGGCTTCTCAAGTCGCACGGATTTCTGAATCAGGGCTTACAACAGATTGTTTAGTGACCCTTCAAAGTTGCAACAGCACTGAAAAAGGTGATTTGGGACCATTTTTCACACTTAACAACCGTTGGAGTATCCCTATGGTCACATGATCAAAATTCAGATGCTTGGCAATTGGCTCAAATTTATGAGGATTGCAGTGTCCTGGGGTCATGGATCTCCTTTTGCAACCTTCTGAGAAGCAAAGGCAATGGGGAAGTCAGATTCACTTAACAACCACATTACTAACTTAACCACTGCACTGATTCACTTAACAACTATGGCAAGAAAGGTTGTAAAATGGAGCAAAACTCACTTAACAAATGTTTTACTGAGCAGCATAAATTTTGGGCTCGATTGTGGTCGTAACTTGGAGGACTGCCAGCAGTTTACCGACTGCATTGGTTTTACATTTTTTGCTTCATGTAAACGAAGCAGTGTAAAAATTCTCCCCCACAATATGTTTGTGAAAATTGCGGTAGATTTAAAAATAAAATTCTTACGAGAAAAGAGAATGAAACTTGCGTGTCCCCTTTTCAGGAAATCTCCTTGTTCTTTCTAAGGGCAGACAGTTGCCATTCAGTTCCAAGCTGAAAGACTCATTTTTTTCTTAAGTCATCCAAAGTTTATAAGTTTTTCCCTAAAGAAATCTTGTTGTCTATAAAAACACTTACCGTACTTTTCGGAATATAAGACACACTCCCTCCCCAAAAGAGGGTGGAAATGTTGGTGCATCTTATACATTGATATACTCTGATGCAGGGTGGATTTGATTTAAATCGAGTTGATTTAAATCACAATTTAAATCATGATTTAAATCACTAGTAAAAAGGCTTGATTTAAATCAACTCAATTTAAATCATAATTTTTAAAGAGCAACTGTCATCTCTGTTACTCCTTTGACCCACTGTTGGCTCACCGATAGTCCCAGTGTTGCAGAATATACAGCCTCATGCTACATAACTAAGCTCCATTTCATGCTGAATAAACTAAATTATTTATGTATCTTAAATAGAAAACTATCTTATGATAGATTTTTACCCCAAAAGTTTTTTATTAAAATAAATTCGATAAAAATCAAAAAAGTCCAATTTAAATTAAAAAAAATCCAATTTAAATAAAAAAAAATCTGATTTTTTTTGATTTTTTAAAAAAACCATTGATTTTTAGCCACCCTGCTCTGATGCATCTTATAGTCCGAAAAATACAGTAATTTCTGTCATTCTTGCTAACAGTGTTTCTGAACTGGTATTTTTGTCTACGATCGTAGGTATGAGAAGATGATCAGCGGAATGTATTTAGGGGAAATTGTCCGTAACATTTTGATTGACTTCACAAAAAGAGGATTCCTCTTCAGAGGTCAAATTTCAGAAACACTGAAAACTAGGGGCATTTTTGAAACCAAATTTCTTTCACAGATTGAAAGGTAAGTGCGCACAATATATCTGGAATGAAGCTTGCTATTATCTCAATATATTAGCAGTTACTTAAGTATCTCATTTAACATTTTCTTCCCAAATCACATCAATACTTTGTCCTCACCATCTAGCTTAGGCGTGGGGGAACAATGGCCCTTCATGACTTCAACTCCATGCTGGCTCAGGAATTCTGGGAGTTGAAGTCCACAAGTCACAAAGGGGCTGTGCTTCCCCACTTCTAATCTAGCTGATTTTTTTGACTGATTTTTGCAAAAGCTGCAAAACCGGTATCAGTGCTACTTAGTACTTAGAAAGAAATCACAGGAAGATCCTAAATGTGTGAAATCAAGAAACAAGTAAGAGGCAAGACGTGTCCCATGTAATCATCGGGGGGTTAATTGGATTTGAAGGAAACCATCCACTTCCTTTCTTGGAGTGTCTTTCTATGATATGTAACAGGTTTCCACCATGCCAGTGTTCTGGTATCAGAACGAACATATTTTGCTTCAGCAGAAGCCCAGAAAGAAAACAGTTTGGTAGCAGTATGGGGTTGTTTTCTTTTTTTTGGCAGGTTCCTTCGAGTCATCGTTGATTCCTGGTAACTTTCTGGATCAGTCCCTGCAGTTTTCTTGGCAAGGATTTTTGGTGGCATTGCCTCCTTCCTAAGGCTGAGAGAGTGTGATTGTCCCAAGGTCACTTAGCTGACTTTATTAAGGCAGGATTAGAACTCAGAGTCCCCTGGTTTCTAGCCTGATGCCTTAATCTCCACACCACACCACACCGCATCACATTATGTTGTTGTTGTTAGTTGCGAAGTCGTGTCCGACCCATCGCGACCCCATGGACAATGTTCCTCCAGGCCTTCCTGTCCTCTATCATCCCCCAGAGACCATTTAAGCTCACGCCGACTGCTTCAGTGACTCCACCCAGCCACCTCGTTCTCTGTCGTCCCCTTCTTCTTTTGGCCTCAATCGTTCCCAGCATTAGGCTCTTCTCCAGTGAGTACTTCCTTCTCATTAGGTGGCCAAAGTATTTTGAGTTTCATCTTCAGGATCTGGCCTTCTAAAGAGCAGTCAGGGTTGATCTCCTCTAGGACTGACCGGTTTGATTGCCTTGCAGTCCAAGGGACTCGCAGGAATCTTCTCCAGCACCAGAGTTCAAAAGCCTCAATCCTCTGGTGTTCAGCCTTTCTTATGGTCCAACTTTCACAGCCATACGTTGCAATTGGGAAAACCATAGCCTTGACTATACACACTTTTGTTGGCAGGGTGATGTCTCTGCTGTTTAATATGCTGTCACATAATGTAGGAACATATTAATATAAAAACTGAGGAGTAATGCTGACCATCTCCAGAGCATCTGATTCTTCAATGATTCTCTCTCGGACAGTGGGCAGTTCTCACCTGTTTTCTGTGACAAGGCCTTTTAAAAATCAGGCGAGAGCTACTAATGAAAGGGTGCACTTAAAGGATGTTTATGTATGGTGGGAGACTATAATTTTACCTTGCCTAAGGTGTTTATTGAAAAAAAAATCTTTATTTTGAAACATTATAAGAACATTAGATGAGAGCTAAAGTTGAAAGAAGTGGGCTTGGGTTCAGAATTCATCATACTTGCAATATTCCAACTGAAATCAGGGATATACTTCAGTTCATCTAAGACTCGTAAAATCTCGTGTTCCAGAAATAAAATGTTCTGGGGAACTCAGAAACAATTCCATTCCATCTTTGGACCAAGCTAGTTAGATTGTTTTGCAGGTGGTGATGGTCCCATTCTGGTCATCCAGATGTTCATGAGAAAGGAACATTTTCTAAAGGGTTCTCACTCAAAAATGTTTACACCAAACTAATGATAACATCCTCATAGCCTACTACTGAGGCTATTGCTAAGAGCCGAGGTGGCACAGTGGTTAGAGTGCAGTACTACAGGCTACTGCATCTGACTGCTAGCTGCAGTTCAGCAGTTCAAATCTCACCGGCTCAAGATTGACTCAGCCTTCCATCCTTCCGAGGTGGGTAAAATGAGGACCCAGATTGTTGGGGGGCAAGAGGCTGACTCTGTAAACCGCTTAGAGAGGGCTGTAAGAAGCACTATGAAGCGGTATATAAGTCTAAGTGCTATTGCTATTTGATTAGAGCCAGATTTCAAATAAAAACATCTTGCTTATGTGGAATTGCATAAATTCTGATTTATGTTTTGGCTAAATTGGCTTTAGCTGTTAGCCCTGCGAGGTAGTCTGGACCAGAAGCACAACTCGGAGCACAAGCTCTGTTTGTTTTTTTGCAAAACTGAAAGTATTTTGCTTCTCTTTTCCTTTAGAAAACCAGGGAGGGGCCTTTCTAAAACATACCCTGCACTCTCCCTCCTTCCGTAGGCAGAGATACCTTTTACACCTTGCTTGTCCAGTCTGCAGTTCTCCCTCCTGTCTCCCAAGGTCATCTCCGCATACCATTACATTAGTTGAATATATAGTGTGTAGGGTCTGCAGGTTGCCTGCAAAGCAGAGGTGGGTTTCAGCAGGTTCTGACTAGTTCTGGAGAACCAGTAGCGGAAATTTTGAGTAGTTCGGAGCACTGGTAAATACCACCTCTGACTGCCCCTGCCCCCATCTATTCTCTGCCTCCCAAGTCCCAGCTGATCGGGAGGAAATGGGGATTTTGCAGTAACCTTCCGCTGGAGTGGCGAGGGAATGAAGATTTTACAGTATCCGTCCCCTGCCATGCCTACCATGCCACGCTCACCAAGCCACGCCCACAGAATTGGTAGTAAAAAAAAATTTGAATCCCACCACTGCTGCAAAGATACGTGAAATCTTTCAAATCTGTGTTGCCTAATAATCAAAAGTGGGCAGAGATCCCCAAGCCAGTTTTGCCTCAAATGATATGCTCATCTTTGGAAAGTTATCCAAGTACTTGACTCTGCCCCCTTCGTGCCCTTTCTCAACAGCGATAGGTTAGCGTTGCTTCAGGTCCGTACCATCCTCCAGCAGCTTGGCCTGAACAGCACTTGCGATGACAGTATAATTGTGAAGGCAGTATGTGGAGCTGTGTCGCGGAGGGCAGCTCAGCTGTGTGGCGCAGGAATGGCTGCTGTTGTAGATAAAATAAGGGAGAACAGAGGCTTGGAGCATCTGGATATAACCGTGGGCGTAGATGGCACACTATACAAACTTCATCCACAGTAAGTATTTTGTGTGTTTGTCTGAATGCTTTAAATCTCATTTCCCCTCCCCAGTCCATGTGTGGAAAATGTTGTCATTCGGTCTCCAAGTACCTTTATCACCACTACCACCAGTCAGTCTCCACCCTTTGGCCGTTTTTGGCCTCCGCACGTTGCATTTTCGGCTGGTTCCCCACCGCCTGGAACCAGCCTAAAATGTGATGCGTGGAGGCCAAAAATGGGGTGTGCGGAGGCCGAAAACGTGATGTGCGGAGGTGACAATCAGCGGCGATGTGCTGTGGCGATCCCCGCAGCCTGGAACAGCTGATTGGCGGTATTCTTGGAGGCAAATCCTACTGCTAATCAGCTGTTCATGCTAAATCAGGCTGTGATAACGTGCTGATGCTGACCAGGCTGTTTGCTGTTGGCTGCAAGGACACTAGCCAGATGGATACCGATGGATTCTGGTAGGCAGAGGCAGAATTTTCTTTTTCTTGTTTCTGTGTGAGTGAAAATAAGTGCCTGCCTATTCCATCCACATCCTTGAGTGTATGTAGAACAGATACCAATCTCTGCCTCTGGCTTTCCATGGACAGTTTCTGCCAGGCATTTCTGTATTAACCAGATTGTTAATCTTCAAGATCGTTGGTTGGCAGCTCTAGGAAAAGCAGGCTCAACACATCTTGAAAACACCAGGTTGGAGAAGTCTGTTGTATAAAATGTATATGATATTATTCTATATAATATGCATGACCATTCATTTGCACAACCATCACGTTTTAGTCCTAATGTAGGAAAAACATTTCCACATTTTGGTTATTCTTCTAAGGGTCTCTTCAGTAAGATGGGTGGTGTAGAAATAAACAAATAAACAAATAAAATTAAAATTCCCGCCTACCTGGGCATCCAGCAGTTGATCTGAAATCAGCAAGGTGGAGGGTGTTGTGTTGCTGCTTTTGTACATGAGTGACATCATCACAGATTGGAAAGAGCAGGGATTCTCATGCACCACACCTGCCATTGGGCAGATGTTTATTTATTTATTTGTTTGTTTGTTTGTTTGTTTATATTTATATACCACCTTTCTCCCGAAGGACTCGGGGCGGTGAACAGCCAACAGATAAAACACAAGAAAATACAAAATTTAAAAACAGTATTAAAATCCAATTAAATTAATTTGGCCCACAATTAAAACACCCCTATATTAAGACCGATAATTAACAATTTAGAATTAAAACAATTTAAAAGAGTTAGGCCAGCCCGGCTTGCTGGAATAAAAACGTCTTTAGGGAACGGCGAAAGGTGCGAAGTTCCGGGATCCGCCGTATCTCTGGGGGCAGCTCATTCCAGAGGGTAGGTGCCCCCACAGAGAAGGCTGTCCCCCTGGGGGCCGCCAGTCGACATTGTTTGACCGACGGCACCCTGAGGAGCCCCTCTCTGTGGGAGCGTACTGGTCGGTGGGAGGCTATGGGTGGCAGAAGGCAGATGTTGACCTCCTGCCACCGGCTGCAAGTCAAGTGAAGCCCACCCATCCCATTCCAGCATATTTAGATGATGCTGCCAATTTCAGTTGGGTAGAAGAAGGACTTTTCACCCCTTCTCTGCTTTCTGCAGCTTTTCAAAGGTCATGCACCAAACGGTAAAGGACCTGGCGCCCAAATGCGACGTGACATTCCTGCTTTCGGAGGACGGCAGCGGCAAAGGAGCCGCCCTCATCACCGCGGTGGGCTGCCGACTGCGCGACGCTGAGCACAACTGAACTCTGCTCCCTGGGCTGCTTATGGCTTCCAAGCACTTTCTTGACAAGCAGCGGTTCTGTAGCTTGAACTGGCGGGGAAGAGCCCAGAATTCACTGCTTGTGGTGGAAGAGTTGGGGTTTAAGGAAGAAAAAAATAGTAAAATAAAAATAGAATGCTGATTAAGTATGCTGTTGCTGATAATATCTTCCACTTTCGTCTGCATGTGTCTTTTTCTGCCCTATTTAGTACATTCCCCATCTGTAGATCATGAAAAAAAAATATGGATAATTTAAACGAATGTCAGAAACTGATTTATGATTTTGAGGTTCTAAAATTACAGCCAAAAAATGGACGTGAGCGAGAGAGCAGGTGGTGGTACAATGTCAAGTGTATTCTTTGCAGCTGCTACTATGTCCACATTAAATAAATATACCACCAACAGTGCTGAATATGAGGCAAATGCTTATGCAAAGGGAACTTAGCAATTCCCATCTGAACTTTTCACCTAGTATTGTTTTATTCCTTCATCTTGAAGTTTCCACCGCAATCTGGTAGCATCTGAATCTTCTGGACTTAGACTTCCCTTAACGACCTGAATGTTCGTTTGTTTGCACTGAACCAAGGGATACACAGATCAATGAACGAGTCAATCAATATCTCTCCCCACTTATCAATTATCACTGCCATTTCTTTTGGCTTTGATAATCAATGTCAAAATTCCAAGTACCATTTCAAAAGGCAAGTCTTTGCTAATAAAATCAAATGCCCTAAGGTGATCCAGATCTCTCGTTTTGAGAAATACTTTTTGCCTTTATATTATTTTTGCCTTTTCCAGGTTTCTCCCATCCTTTAATAAAAGAGTTTGGAATTCCCTTGTTAGTTTATGTCCTGCTGAAAGCCATTTCCAATTTACTAAGGTCGTGAATTCTGGGAGAAACCTGAGAGCTTGCACGGGAGAATATAATGTGGTGTTGGGGGGCAGAGACCTGAGTTTCTGTCGGATCCATATCACAGATAAACAGCCAGAAGAACAAGATCAGTGTAAGGCTATGGTATTCAACATCAAACAACCAAAGCTATAGGCATCTGCAGAACAGTAGCCACATTATTGTTTCATATATTGTATGTTGAGGTAGGACTTTGATTGTGTAGTGCTGGCTATCATTTCCACTCCTGCCTTTCCTCTAGAGTAGAGCAATATTTTTCAACCTCAGTAGCTTTAAGTTGTGGGGACTTCAACTCTTGGTTGGCTGAGGAATTCTGGGAGTTGAAGTCCCCACACCTTAAAGTTGGCCAGGTTGAGAAGCATTCCTCTAGACAAGGAGTGTCAAATTCGCGGCCTGCGGTCCAGATGTGTCACGTGCTGGCTCCACCCCCGCCCGGTTTAGCAAAGTGGAAAAAGTCACGTGACGACGCTGTGACAACGTGAGTTTAACACCCCTGCTCTAGACTGAAGATACCAGGGACTACAGACGTGACCACCATTTTGATTTTCTCTTACAACCTAGGGTGACTGATACATTAATTCTAAAATTTGCAGGAAACTGAATAGGTATGAATGGCTTCCTACTCCGGATGCTTCTGTAGGACAGCATTTACACAATTACAAAACATTAAAATAGTCTTGACTTTTGCTACAGCCAAAGAATCAGGGGAAAATGTGACACACTCTACCTTCTATGGTGATTACAGTAGAATTCCTAGTGAAACGATTTTTATGGAGTTGAATTGCACCAATTCTGCTTCTGAAAATGCACACTTGGAGATAGTTAGGCATGTGGGCAATTAGTACTCCTTTAACAATTCTAGGAGCGTTATCTTTTAAGGCCTGGTTTATTCCGTGGTTGGATTTGATGGTGCACTTTACCAAGATACTTGAAAAATATTGTTACAGGTAGCACCAAAGAAGATAATGTGCAAACAAACCACGGATATCCAAGTTACAAGATATCCAAGTTTGATCTAGACTTGAAATTTAAACCAGCGCATGATTATAGAGGCTGAACTCTGTTCTCTTGTTAGTAATTACCCCAAGTAGCAAAGGGATCAGCTGGTCTTTTTAAAGGCTCTCCAGCTATCTCCATTCCAATAAGAAATTATATTGATCACATCATTGGCAACAAGAAACCGCAACAAGAAAATAAAACCAAGCTTAGTGGATTACTTTTAAATCTCAAGATTCGGATTGCTTATCTCTTAATAAGCATTTTCAGTACACATTTTGGTGCATTGTGATCGAATGTTGTGGTAAAATGAGTCTCGCCCAGTATTTTGCAGCTTTCAGTGTGTGTGCGTGCGTACGTACGTCTTCCCGAACGATCGCATGATTCCCGTGTTTTTCCTATGCTGGAAAGTCTTTTTATATTGCCTACTAGTAGTGATGATACTACATAGTGCAAAGTGGATATTTGTGACATAATTAAACTTTATTTTGAAGTGTGTTTATTGGTGTCTGGTGATTCTTTCTGACAAAGGAAATTTATGTTGTAGAAATGCAAGAGAAACCAAGGAGGAATAATTTTTCTCCACATTTTTAAACTAGTAGCTCCCTGAAGAATTCACACATCTAGCCAATTTTGAGTTCCGATAAAGATGTTTAGAAGAACTTGCTATATATTTCAGATCCTGGACATGAGGTTGCAAAACTGAATTGTTTTTGTTAAGTCAGCAAACCTCCCTAGGGCTTAATCTTCAGAGAAAGTCCTGGATCCCAGAGTGAATTTTGACATGCAAATTTGTTCTTTTTCTTCCAGGTTCAAACACGGGGCATGAATTTAGGCTTGCACTGTTAGTTAGTTGTTACGGTTTCCAGCTTCAATGTTGTTGAAGAAAAAAAAAATCAAAAGTGGGTGGGGGCTTGGTTGGCATTAGAAAGGTCTCAGCTATTCATTGTGCAGAGATAGAAAATCCATCTGCTTCATTCCTTATAAGCAGAAATTCTGTGTTCAAAACAGGATTAAAAACCTTGCATGTTTAAGGGCTTTAATGCTGACAGACGCAAATGAATGTCTGCTTTAAATAGCAAAATCTGTGCCCATCTGGAAATTTTTAAGTTTGGTAATGTTTTTACACATTCATTCAATAGGGTGCTTATTTTTTAGGCTGTAAAAAGGTCTAATTTTGGGAAACATTCATATACATAGTGAATTGTAAATTGCTGATGCTGCTACTCATTGCAATCTGAAGATTTTTATTTATTTTTGGCAGATAGTTCCAATGTTTTAAGAGGGTTAAAAAAAAAAAACTCCCAGCATTTTAAATTGTTTTTTTATTCCCTAAAAAAATAAATCTCGATCCATGATTTTATTTTGTGCTGCTTTTCAGTCTGCTGGAATCTTTGATGTGGAAGTTATTTCCAAAATTATTTAAAAAACAAATTTGATTATAGTATATAAATCACTATTTAATAAATTTCTATAAACCAATAATTTTCCTTTCTTGAGTGAAATATTCTTACCTCATAAATTATAATAAATATTTAAAATAAGCCTCACATGCTTTACACTGTCTTATTGCTATGTTTATTGAGCTATAATAATGTTAAATCTGATGGTCATTCTTTCCAAGAGACTTCAGGGATTTCCCCAATTATGGAAAAATACAAGGAAGAATTTTTTTTTCACTTTGCCCCGTTTTTAGATCGTTGCAACATTTAGTCTTCACTTAAATTCTTGTTGGGGATTGAAGAAGGGCTGGACCAGTGATAACTTCAATGGGAAAAAAGAACTGAAGTAACACCTTTTCCAACTAATAAACAAGAGCTGGGTTCTAGCACATATGTGCACCCAACAATCAGCTTTTCACCGGTTTTTGGCACTGCTGTGCGCGCACGAAGGACAGCTGATTGTCACATGCACACCGGAAACCCGGAAGACAAACAGGCAAGGCCGCTCGGGCCGGGCAACATGACTTCACATGCCACTTTGGGCATCTGTGCTATAGGTTCACCATCACATATACAAACCTGCCATGATCTAGTGCAGTATTTTTGATGCTACAACAAAAACCAGGGCAATGAAGTTGTTACTCAAGCTCTTAGGATAAAAATCCTGCCGCCCAATACATGTGAGTAACTGACAAAGTGATCCGTCGTGTACGTTGCTAAGCTCGTAGAGAAGTTGGATGCTTGTTCTCTTTGGATTTTCCATAAGGGTCAGGATAGCTAAGGTTAAGCCGGTCTCTTTCTGTAGCTTTGACGCAGGGGCACCATTGAAAAGCAATCCTGAATCCAGATCGGAACCTGCCAGGGGGAGAAATATTAATAAAATGTATGTCATCTAACCCAGAGACGAGAGAGTGAAGCCAACAATTATTTTTTTCCTAATTTCTATCACACTTTTTTTTTTTATGTGGTGGAAAATACTTTTTAAAGTATTTTCCACCACAGTTTTATGATTTACTATCTCTCTACTTGACTCTGGCCTGAGCTCTAACCAAATAGGGGTGTCTACACAGGTGGGCTCAGAAAAATCAAGATGGCCGGCCTGGCCATTAAGTCCCATGTCCTTATAAGGTGGTGTATTATGTCCATAAAGAAGGGTTGGCCATTAATCACATGCTTGGACCACTATTTTGATTTTTTTTTACTGCTATCCTTCCTCTGTGTGTCAGAGATTTTAGATATATCAATGGTGTTTGGGTTCACCTATGAAAAGCAGTAACCTACCTCCACACACAACAGGCTTAGCACCCTGTGAATCCAGCTGCTGTGGCTATTACACCATGGATTCATGAGTTATTTTTATGTAGGAATTAGCTCACCACCTTTTGTTTATCAAACTGTGGCTTAGTATGTCTGAGCTAACCTGTATCTCAAATTACACTTGAGCATTTGCCACTTTCTAAAATGTAAAGCTGATGTTTATATATTTTAAAAAAAAATAATGTTAAGGAAAAAAAGTTATTCGGTGCGAGTGACGGCACCAGGTTACATTACAGTAATTTGAAGTGAACATTTATCTGTATGTCGTTTTATACTGTGCTGTCCTTGGGTGATAGATCTTTCTACCCACTGAAGCTGTAGTCCCTTAAGCTGCACAATACTCACCTGTGATTAAGACAGCAATAAATAATTGGACTGTACATTGCAGAACTCATGGCCAGCAAGAACACAGCCAGATAAACTTGTTGGATGTACTTCCGCCTGTTGACTTCCTTCCAGATGCTTCCCAGGATGAAGTAGAAATGATAAGGGAACCAGCAAACGGCAAATGTTATCACAACTGCAACCATTGCCCTGACAAACTAGGACAAAAGCAACAACAACATAGGGTTGTTTTATGACTGTTTCACTCTTTCTTTCCCACTGTATAATCTAACTACCACAAGGAATTGGTGCAAAATATTCTGCATGAGAAATTTTCTGAGCTTGGAGCAGTGGCCATGCCATTCCAGAAGTTGAGACAAAATGAGTGTTTTGTTCTTAACCTTTCAAGTATTTGGACATCCCGCAATTGACTTGTTTTTTTTAAATCTTCATCCAAGCCATGGCTACTTGGAAAAATGCATCTGCCAAAAAACCCACCAAGATTCCATTCCTGCCTTATTCACTGAGGTGTAAATTGGAAAATTAAGAGCATGGTAGTGAACAGGCGAGAGAGAAATGCTTCACTGTTGCTTTCATTGTCTCTTTGGGAATGTGAATATTTTTTTTTTAAATGTCAGTCATTCTTTGCCTACATTTTTATAAGCCGGGTAGCAAGTAGCAGTTAACATGGATTTCCGTCAGTTTTGGAGGAAGAAAAGATCCACTTGGTGGTATTCACTTAACCTTTGCTACTGGTTCGCAAATGTGTGCATGCGCAGAGTGTCAAAAACGGGACGTGATGACGTCCGGGCGGATGGGCGGAGCCTCCCGCCGCTGCTACCAGTTCGCCCGAACGGGTTAGAACTGGCAGAATACCACCACTGGATCCACTGTTTCCTATGCAGAATTCTTGAAACTTTCATGGGATACTCTTGGTAGCATCCTCAGGGAATGGACAAGTGAGAAGATTCACCGTGCTGAAAGAGCTGAGGTGGCGCAGTGGTTAAGAGTGCAGTACTACAAGCTACTTCTGCTGATCATCGGCTGCCAGCAGTTTGGCAGTTCAGATCTCACTGGCTCAAGGTTGGCTCAGCCTTCCATCCTTCTGAGGTCGGTAAAATTGGACCCAGATTGTTGGGAGCAATAGGCTGACTCTGTAAACCGCTTAGAGAGGGCTGTGAAGCACTGTGAAGCGGTATATAAGTCTAAGTGCTACTACTATCATGGTGTTGTGATCAAGCACCCGCTCTTTTCTGCATGTGTTGCAATATTGCAGGCGCACCCCGAAGAATTGGAACCTGACCCGGAAGGACACAATTCACATTCTCATGGAGAGACAAACAGTCTGCGGATGCCACTGGAAACTCAAATCCTTCCAACAAAACATTTCAAGTGGAGCTGTTTCATTCCAATCTCGGAACAAAGCAGCTATTCATATTTGATAGAGTAGTCAGCCTTTGACCAGTTTTTATGATTGTTTATTGACCTTGGCATGCCTTCACTACAAACCAATGGCTGGCTAATAGAAATGGGTTCTCTATATGGTTCTTATGATTAATATAGTTGACCTTCACCATTGGAAAGATAAATCTATGGCCTCAGTTCCTCAAGGGATTGAACCTGATGTTATTTGCAATGTTATGAATGAGTGGCTTTCAGACACAGATTATAGACAGAGGATTACAATGAGGATGTGATTGTCCTTTGGTGCAACCTTCATGTGAAGCTCTTACTAATATAATACTGTGGTTGTTGGGAGTGTTTTGCTCTTTTTCTTGTTTTCTTCTATTTTTTAATTGGTTGTTTGTTTACTGTTTATTTTGCAATGGCAAAATAAAACTAATTCTAAAATCTAGGCTACAAAAATCCAGATCATGACTGCATTGCTGAAAAAGAGGAACTAAGAATTCTGGTTTTTTTTCTTGCCACGTTTAGTAGTTACACCAAACTTTCAGATGTTTGTGGTCCAGACACGAGAGGCCAAGTGGTCACTTCACAATTCTCAAGAAAACAAATTTATGTATGCACCTTAATTTTCTCACCTTGGAGTTCATCAAGCATGACAGGTTGAGGTTCTTTTTATCTTCATAGTTAACATTAACCTGAATATTCAATTTTAATTTCTGAGTAGGCTCTTCTGAATCTTTTTATGTTTAGCTAAGCAAAGTAGTTTTGTCTGCGTATCTCAAATTGTTAGTCTGGGGCAGTGGTGGGATTCAAATAATTTAAAAACCAGTTCTCTGCCCTAATGACTGGCTGGGTGGACGTGGCCATGGCCAGGGGGTGTGACAGGCAGCACTCAGCCTCCTGCACCCCCCTGGGAGCAAAAACGGGCCGCGGGGGGGGGAACGTGTCGCCCACCCATGCCCTGTTTTGGGCCTATTGGGCCTCCCTGCAGCCTCCTGGGAGCAAAAATGGGCCCCGGGGGGGCCTGTGCCACCCCCCCCACGTGCCCCATTTCGGGCCTAGAAGGCCTTCCTGAAGTCTCCTGGGAGCGAAAATGGGCTGCAGGGGGGCATGCTGCACCCCCGGCCCCATTTTGGGTCTAGTAGGCCTCCCTGAAGCCTCCTGGGAGCAAAAACAGTCGGGGGGGGAACGTGTCGCCTACCCATGCCCTGTTTTGGGCCTATTAGACCTCCTTGCAGCCTCCTGGGAGCAAAAGTGGGCCGCGGGGGAGCCTGCGCCACCCCCCCCCCCACGTGCCCCATTTTGGGCCTAGAAGGCATTCCAGAAGCCTCCTGGGAGCGAAAATGGGCTGCAGGGGGGCATGCTGCACCCCCCCGGCCCCATTTTGGGTCCCTGAAGCCTCCTGGGAGCAAAAACGGGCCGTGGGGGGATGCTGCAGCCCCCTCCGTGTCCTGTTTTGGGCCTAGTAGGCCTCCCTGCATTTACCTGGGAGACAAAACGGGGTGCATGGGGACTCCTGGAAGGGGCAGGGAGGGGAGGGGCGGGGTCAGTCAGCAATTTTACTACTGGTTTGCCCGAACTGGTCTGAACTGGCTGAATCCCACCACTGTTCTGGGGTATAAACTCTCTGGGCCCCAAGGCAAACCTCTGATCTGGCTGGCAAAACTCCAGGCTAATTGATGCAGTAATAAGTTAAGAGTTTTATGTATTTCTTGGCGGTCACCTAAAGCTTATCTAGATTTTAACACTCCATGTAATGTCAAGGTCTGTCTTTTCTTTCTTTACTTGTTCCTTCCCAACTGGAAGGAAAGAAGGAGAGAAGGTGGTGCAGAGAATGGCAACATAATGAGGTCAATCTTAAGCTAAGAGGCACGTGGAAACAGATGCTAGGATGATGTACCAATGTTAGTGTCTATGACCAGGTGTTCTGCTCTTCCAGCTTGACCTGAGATGTTTATATATAAGATTCTGAAAATCATAAACTGGTTGTAGAAGGAAGATCAACTTGACAAAGACATCTTGTCAGAGAAGATAACTGCCAGCTGGTTCTTTGCTGATCTTCACTGCTGTCACTCAGCAAAGCTGAACATTTATCCTTTCATAGCGCATCCAAGGAAACATATTATTTTACAGCTGCTTTAGACCAGACTAGCACTTGGTAAGTGTAAGAATTTACTTAGGGGGTCTCATCTTTGTTATGTGAGAGGGGATCATTCAGAATGCCATGCTTGAGGGCTTCCAAAATGAAGAACGGTTGCAGGAACTGGGTATGTCTAGTTTAATGAAAAGAAGGACTAGAGGAGAAATGATAGCATTCTTCCAATATCTCAGGGGCTGCCCCAAAGAAGAGGGAATCAAGCTATTCTCCAAAGCACCTGAGGGTAGAACAAGAAGCAATGGGTGGAAACTAATCAAGGAGAGAAGCAATTTAGAACTAAGGAGAAATTTCTTGACAGTTAGAACAATTAATCAGTGGAACAACTTGCCTCCAGAAGTTGTGAATTCTTCAACACTGGAAGTTTTTAAGAAGATGTCGGATACCCATTTGTCTGAAGTGGTGTAGGGTTTCCTGCCTAAGCAGGGGGTTGGACTAGAAGACCTCCAAGGTCCCTTCCAACTCTGTTATTCTATTCTAAAATCCTGAAGTTCATGTTGATTATTGTTGCCTTGGAGTTAGCAGACCAGCAAGACTGTAACAGATGATCCAAAACAACAGATGAATTAGCTGGTCTCAAATAAACATGCTGACGCTGTCTTAATCCCCAGATTGTGCCTCAACTCAGTTCCAGACTAACAATCTTATGTAGGCACATAAAAGCAGGGAGCCTTTTGTGAAAGCTTACTCACTGTGCCGTATAACCTTTCCTCAAAGACTGAGCTCTAGGCAAAGCTGGTTCTTCCTGTCTGAAGTTCAAGATAACATGCCCAATACTGATTGGCTGGTCCCTCGTAATAACATGAAATTTCCTCCCAGAGATCCTCTTTCTTGGAGCAGCAGTTCATGAGGCTGCTACATGCTGCCAAAATGATTGGAGTTATTGCAAATGGTACATTTTATATGAAATCATTTTGTCAATGGGTGTTGATGCCACGAATACCGGAATTAATATTACTTGATAATGCAACTATAAGCTGTTTATAAAAACTTTGATGTTGTGTTTACTTTAGCCCTGTAAGATTATCCCAATTCATGCTGTGGCATGTCAGCTACGCAAGAATTCATTCGTTTCCTTTTTAAGGACTCAAAGTGCAAGGTTGGGACTCTCAAGCTGACAAGAAGTGACATCCCCAAATTCTTGCTGCAAACTTTACAAAGTTGCTTTACAACTTATTGAAGACATGATTCATTTATAATCTTCTGGGAATAAATGCGCAATTGTGAGACTTGCAGGGACGTGTGAGACTTGCAGGGATGTGGTGGTTCAGTGGCTAAGATGCTGAGCTTGTCGATTGCAAGGTGGCAGTTCAGAGGCTCGAATCCCTAGTGCCGCATAACGGGGTGAGCTCCCGTTACTTGTCCCAGCTTCTGCCAACCTAGCAGTTCGAAAGCACGTAAAAAATGCAAGTAGAAAAATAGGGACCACCTTTGGTGGGAAGGTAACAGCGTTCCGTGCGCCTTTGGCATTTAGACATGCCGGCCACATGACCACAGAGACGTCTTCGGACAGCGCTGGATCTTCGGCTTAGAAACGGAGATGAGCACCGCCCCCTAGAGTTGGGAACGACTAGCACATATGTGTGAGGAGAACCTTTGCCTTTAACTTTATGAGACTTGCAATGGATTTATATTACAATTCCACTTTAAGGTTCTTTTTTGTGGGGGCGAACAAATTACTAACCTTTTTCTTGGCCACAATCTTATGTTGATAGTACACCATGTTAGTATGATCTCCAGGAACATCATTATGCCACAGAGTTATTCCTATTGCACTGTATGTGAAAAACATCACAGTGAGAGGCAGTACATAAACCAAGAGAATGACAGCTATGTGATACCTAAACAAGAAAAAGAAAGAAGAAGGAAAAGGAGAAAGGCCGAGTATGAATGATCAGGGATAAATATTTTCCTTCCTCTAGTAAGAAAATTCTCTATGATACTGACGGCAGACTACATCTACATGATGAAAGCGATGATGGTGCAATCAAAACTCTGCCTGACTCTTAGGTGTGTCTCATTGTAAATGTCCATTAAGTATGGTAGTGATGAAATTCAATTTTTTTTACTGATTCTGTGGCCATGGCTTGGTGGGTGTGGTGTGGCTTGGTGGGTGTGGCAGGGGAAGAATACTGCAAAATCTCCATTCCCACCCCACTCCAGGGGAAGGATACTGCAAAATCCCCATTCCCTCCCCATTTCTGGGGAAGGATACTGCAAAATCCCCATTCTCTCCCGACTCCTGGGGGAAGGATAATGCAAAATCTCCATTCCCACCCCACTCCAGGGGAAGGATACTGCAAAATCCCCATTCTCTCCCCACTCCTGGGGTAAGGATACTGCAAAATCTCCATTCCCACCCCACTCTGGGGCCAGCCAGAGGTGGTATTTACCGGTTCTCCGAACTACTCAAAATTTCCGCTACTGGTTCTCCAGAACCTGTCAGAACCTGCTGGATTTCACCCCTGCACCATCCCCTTTTTAACCTTCATCGCATAATGATAAACACTGACAAAGGGCAGGGCTTTATATTAAACAGAAGAGTGTTACCATCTTGACTTTTTTTGACCAGCTCTGTGGATGCCCCTGTTCCAAACGGAAACTAGTCAAGCTTTCCTATCAATAATGTATGGGACAATCTTCGATCAAGAGCTCTTCAGAAAAGGAAGCAAAGTGAAAATAGCCTTTGGACACCATCTTGATTCTTCCTTGTGCAAGAAACAGAGAGCAAGATCTGGCACGGAAAGTGATGCTCTGATTACAACATCGGAGAGCGCATGATCACCTTCCTTTAGGGCAGGGGTCAGCAACCTTAAACACTCAAAGAGCCACAAAGGTCCTAATTGGAAGCCCCCCATTCAATTCTGGAGCTGACCGGAAGTTCAGTTCCCCCACCATAGAGTCTCCTCCTAGTGCGGGGTCCTTTTTCCTCTACCTGTCCTAACTGAAAGCCCTATCAATTGTGGAACTGACCAGCGACAGGGAGCCTTGATGATGTTGGGTGAAGAAGACAAAGGGCAGAGATGCTGAGAGTGCCTGAGTTTTATACCCTCTCTGGGCTTTTGAATTTGAGCTTGTATTCTGATTGGTTGTCAGACTCCCATGGGAGTCCCTCTGTAGGCTGTCCTGAGTCCCAAGCTTGGTTGAGCCTTGCTGGGTGATGCAATCTCCCCAGGTGCCATGTGGTGAGATCTGTTACTAGATGGGTAGAGGGCTAATCCTATCATGTCCTGAGAGCCATGTCTTAATCCCATCATCCTGGAGCTGAAGCGGGGGTGGGGCAGGGAGCTGCAGGAAGGGTGCTTTGTCTTTAAAAACATCTTTCTCCTTTTCTCATCCAGGGAAACATAATATTCTGCCTTTTTATTATTTCCTAAAATATTTCATTCTTCTAGAAGAGGGGTGGGTGCTAACTTCCTTCATCATGATAGCATTATGTGGGGCATAAGGTAACAAAGAGCAAAGGAAATGGTCAGAACAAGACTTGTTCATAGTAATTGTTGTTTTTCTTCCTTCCGAAAGGAGAGGGAATTGGAAAGTATTTTAAGACTGCATCGTAAAAGGGCTTTTGTTTCTTGTAGCACTGGAGAATACTTTCGGTCTCCTATTTTTTTTTTTTCTTTTCATGCATTCTTATCTCTTCCTGTATCTGCCTTAGTTTTGCTCTCTTGGCTCCAGAATCACCCAGATGTAGAAAGTTGTAATGCATCTTTTTTAAAAAAATAAATAAATTATTTATTTAAAAAAAATACATCAAGAAAAAGAAATAGTCAAACAAATGATCGCGACAGGAACTTTACATGATATTTACACTTTCTACAGTATTTAATTTATTAAAAAAAAAAAGAAAGAAAGTTGTAATGCATCAACCAGCCTTTAGAATGCTTCCACATTTTTAAACCAATAAAATAAGTATTCAGACAAAGCTCGTTTTTGTAACTCACATGCCAGGAATTTCATGCAGCAGTTAACTCACTTCTGTAATACTAGGTGGTATCTTTCTTAATGTGGTTTATGCACTTCACATTCCCATTTCAGCCATATTACAATATTGCAGCCAGTTGACCACCGTTATTAGCTAGTGAATCAGAGGTGGTATTCAGCAGTTCTGACCAGTGGTGGGTTGCTACCGGTTCACCCCGGTTCGGGCAAACCTGTAGCAGCGGTGGTGGGAGGCTCCATCCGCCCGCCTGGACGTCATCAAATATGCTCTGCGCATGCGCAGAAGTGGCGCACACGTAAGCGAACCAGTAGCAAAAGTAAGTGAAACCCACCACTGGTTCTGACCAGTTCTGCAGAACCGGTAGCGGAAATTTTGAGTAGTTCGGAGAACCGGTAAATACCATCTCTGACTGCCCCCCCCCCATCTATTCTCTGCCTCCTGAGTCCCAGCTGATCAGGAGGAAATGGGGATGTTGCAGTAACCTTCCCCTGGAGAGGGGTGGGAATGGAGATTTTACAGTATCCTTCCCCTGCCATGCCCGCCAAGCCACACCCACCAAGCCACGCCCTGCCCACCAAGCTATGCCCACAGAACCAGTAGTAAAAAAATTTGAATCCCACCACTGTAGTGAATTATTTGGGGCTCATTTGGGACACTGTGCATATGTGTTTTGAAAATGACCAAATTTCAGGGCCACAACTGTTGCCTTGTTTTTTTTTTTATCCTGTCCATAAAGACCCATGCCAAAACTCTATAAATTTTCACTGCACATAACTTCAAATGATATGGGTATGACACTGGCAGCAAGTCTTGCTCCCAGCTGTTACATATCCCATGTCTACATAGAAGAAGGATTTTCTTATAGCTGCTGTGAGCACCAGCAATATTGAAGACAACAAATGTGAGAAGTTCTCAGTAGCAAATAGCAAAATCTATTTGACTTTCTCAGAGCTTCAAAACTGGTTAAATCTGATGAGAATTTGGATGGAGTTTCAAAGTTAGCTACACACTTGGGTTCAATTCTTGATAATTATTGTGCTTGGTCATCATTTTTTAAAATATATTGGGTAGTTTTTAAAAAATGTGTAATGTTGGTTTGTTTGGAGGAAGGGTAGTTTTTGTTTTTGCCTTGCATCATCTAATCGCTTTATTTGAGTTGGGTGGCTCCTATCCAGGAGCCTGGATAGCTCTGCAGACAAGGCACTGTAATTTAACCCCAGCTGTCTGCAATTAAAGTAAGTTCGAATCTCGCCAGGCTCAAGGTTGACTCAGACTTCCATCCTTTCTAAGGTAGGTAAATTGAGGACCCGGTTTGTGGGGGCAATAAGCTGACTTTGTATAAAATATACAAAAGTATGAAGGCTATTGCTTAATGCACTGTAAACCGCCCTGAGTCTCTGGAGAAGGGCGGCATATAAATAAAAATAAAAATAAAAAAAATAAACCTATTCCCCTCTCTCCAAAAATCTCTATGGGCAAATACTTGTCTTGACTTATAAAATTCATCACTTTTTCAAGGAGATTCCAGTAATTATTTTATGTTATCCATCCATTTTTTCTTCTCCCTCTTCCACTTTCCCCAATGTTGCCAAGCATAATTATTTTCTTGGAGCTATATATAGGTGACTTTTCAAAAACATCAGGCATACTGTTATACAAAATTTCTTTTCCCCCCTTGTCTTAAAGTGGGATTCAGAATTTCTAAAGCAGGGGTGTCCAATCTTGGCAACTTTAAGATGTGTGGACTTCAACTCCCAGAATTCCCCCGCCAGAGAATTGATGTCAACAAAGACCTAAAGTTGACAAAGTTGGACACCTCTGTTCTAAAGTCTGGTTAGATAAAATTTGAGGCTTTGACTAAATTCCAAGTGCTTCACTTTTTTTGGGGGGGGGATTCAGGGATGTGTTCCTGGGGGTTCGGCGGGGTTCGGCCGATCCTCTAGCCAAGGATTGCTGGGGTTTGGCAAACTCCCAAATGCCACCCCTGGCTGGCCACGCCCACCCCGCCCCTCCCAGGAGTCTCCACGCAGCCCATTCATCATTCCAGGTAAGTGCAGGGGCTGCGCGGAGGGTCTCGGAGGGCAAAAAAACGGGCCTACCAGAGGTTCCGGAAGTCCAGAAACGGGCCTGTTTCCGGCCTCCGGAGGGCCTCCAGAGGGCCCCGGATTCTGGGGGAAGCAGTTTTTGCCCTTCCGGAGGCTCAAGGAAAGACTCCAGAGCCTGGGGAGGGTGAAAAATGCCCCCCCTGTCGTGGTACAGATTAGGCCACACCTACCATGGCCACGCCCACCCAGTAACGGGGCAGTGAACCCGTTGCTAAAGGATCCGAAGCCCACCCCTGGGGGGATTCCTGATCCTGGAATGTCACAACCCAATGAAGATAAAAACAACTTTTTTTGTCTCTTGAGAAGAATCTGCGGTATTTTTTCATCTCATGATCTATCATCCTTCTTTGTAAGTACAAACATGGTACAGTAGACCTTTAAAAAGGCAACGGGCTTTTTACCTGACTGTTCTGAAAACAGATATAAGGCAGAGCTATCAATCATTTGGCATTTTCGTTTCTCCTCTTTGCTTGGATTAGATTTGTCAAAATACTGCACATTTCACACTTCGGTTTATGTGGGAGACTTACGTGAGCTGCTGTCTTTGGCTGTGATTGTGTGGCCAGCTCACAGCACATTTGGCCAATCCGTGATCGGTGATGACTTGTGCATAAAAGAACTGTGGAAAAGCTAGTGCACAAGCCACCAGCCAGATTATTCCTATAATCCCTTTTGTGTTCGCTGCAGAAAGTTTTTGCTTGAAAGGGTAAACGATTGCCATATACCTGAAAGAAAGAAACAGGGAAGAATCAGAAGGAATGGATTTTTCCATTGAACAACTACGCTGCGAAGGTTACAGTTGAGACAAAGTCATTGTTTCTACATTAATTCGTAGAAAATGTCAACCTAGCTTCATGTAAATCCGACAGGTTTTCTACTGTTAATCCCTCCTGATTTATCTTAAAAGCAATATGGGCCTTCCCAAACACCTTCCCTAGGCAACAAAGGGATTGTCAATCCTGAAGCTGACCTGACCGAGGCCATTTTGAGGCTTCAGTGTTGCCACACTGGAGCTGGGGGATAGGGAGGGTGGAATAGAGATAGCTGGGGTTTTGTAGCCAAAACAAAATATTTTCTCCTGGGAACCAAGGACATTTTCACAGGTGGCCAGAAAGAGTAGGAGTGAAGTTACCAGGCAACTGGGCGGCACCTTGATTGGACCATGTGACTGATTGGGGAAGGGAAAAAACTTTTAATTAGGTGAAAACTACGGGAACGTTCAGAGTCGGTTTTCACCAGCCTGTGCCAATATGATATATCTAATAAAACTATTCTTTGTGGAATCTACCAGCCTTGGAGTTCTGTTTGCTATGGGTGTATTACTTGGAACATTGACAGGGATCTCAAAAGTGGGGGGGAAAAGGAAGAATGAAGATGACAGAAAAAGAATGGGAAATCGCCTGCCCAATTCAGCAGCTGTTTCAACCCTGCTCACCGTGAGCTTCTTTAAAATGCTTGAAAAAAAGATTGCCATTCCTCTGGTCCCAAAAAATTGAAAGGGGCCTTTAGTGCATGCAATTAAACCTTTAAGGATCTCTGCCCCACAATTATTTCAAAATATATATCCAGGAATATGCACAATTTGTAAAATGTAAAAAAATGAAACAAAATAAAAATACTGCAAGATGCAAAGCCATGATTTTCGACCTCAGGTTCTGAGGGCCATAATGTATTTTCTCTTTGTGCTCTATGTGCCAATATGTTTCCTTGATTATCTCAACTTGTCTTGTAAAACAAGAAAGTACAGTCCATCTCTTCTGCCCATCTCCCTAGCATATTGCTAGCAACTGTAGGAAGAAATAGCCATCTGGTTCAGTTCCAAGCCGGGAGTAAGACACTGGAAACATGGAGGCTGATTAGAAAGATGGTTTAATGGTGAACCACCAAGCACATGGTTCTGGGCAGCTGACTACATGGAGTTGAGAGTGGGTGACTTTTATACCATCTCTTGGGCTTTGCACTTGAACTTCCTGTTCCTGTGCAAGAACATGTATTCTATTGGCTGTTGTCAGATTCCCATGGGGCCCTGTAGGGGTCATGTTTGTCTGAGCTAAGATTGGTTGATGTTTGGACTGATGCAATGAAGGGACTTGTTGTACCATGTGGTGAGCTCTGCTGCTATATGGGTTAATCCAGGAGTGGGTTCTACTTATCTTTACTACCGGTTCGCAACAGGGTGCGCAGAAGCATTTTGATAACATCGGGGTTGGTAGGCAGAGCCTCCCGGCAGTTTTACTACCGGTTCTATAGAACCGATGCGAACCGGGGGCAACCCACCACTGGGTTAATCCTATTATATTCTGGAGGGTCATGTCTTAATCCCATCACGCTGGAGTTGCAGGTCTTTTGTCTTGGAGATAGGCTGGCCCAGTCTTTCTTAATGGGCACCAATATCTGCTGGGGGCAGGGAGCTGCTTTCCATTTTTAAAACATGTTTCTTCTTTTATCATCCAGGGAAATACAATATTCTGTCTTTTGAATATGTCTCAAAATATTTCATTCTTCTAGGAGCGGGGTGGGTGCTAACTTCCTACACAACAATCTTGGATTGTGCAGATATAAATCTCAATGCAAAGTCTTCTGTAATTCTTCCCCACCCTGTTCTTTAAAATGACACATTAGTTTACCCAAGCTCTAATCTCTGTGAGATAGAAGAGAAAAATTAAAGGGCATTTTTTACAGGATCACTTTTCCTTCCATTTTTCTAACAGAAATAGGCAACGATGTCATACTTTGACTCTGTTTTGTGTATGTAGTTCTGGAAATGTTATGAGTGACTCTGCTTTTTCCCATAAGAACTGTCCAATCTTATCCCTTGCAGCTGAAAGCTGCATGTTGAAAAGCTTTGTATTCCACACCTGTTTTTAACTGTCATATCGGACAACTAATTTATACTTTGCTTGGTGGGCAATGAACTGCTGTGTACATCTGTGTTATGATTTTAGTGCAGCCATGAGAACATTTCATTTTTGACAACACTTGGTCTTCCCAATTCATTTTTCTGCATCTGTATAGCTAATCTGGAATCCCTTGAGAAATAAAATTTAGGCTGTTTATCTGCCCTGGGCAATTCATGTACATAGAAAGTACCCGAAAAATATACTGACTTGCCTTTTTGATCAATTTTAAAGACTTTTTACACTTTCATTTAGCCAAATCAAATACTATACAAATTACATGCTCTTACTTAGTATTTCCTTCTTTCCTTTCCTTTCCTTTCCTTTCCTTTCCTTTCCTTCTTTCCTTTCCTTTCCTTTCCTTTCCTTTTCCTTTTCCTTTTCCTTTCTCCCTTCCCTTCCCATCCCTTCTCTTTCCATCCCATCATTTTATTTTTGTGAAAAGATCTCTAGGTTTCATACAGTAGTGCATAAAAGAACGTTTAAGGATGACAAGTATTTTTCCTGGCAATGTTTTTCAGCCCAAAAAAAATACATGAAAAGCAAAAACTTAATAGGTGAACTTGGCCCTTATCTTACTACAGGTAGTCCTAAATTTACAACAGTTAATTTAATGAACATTTGAAAAAAGTAACTTATAATTATTTTTCACATTTATGACCGCTGTAGCATCCCTATGGTCACATGATCAAAAATCAGATGCTTGGCAACTGACTCATAATTATGACGTTGTTGTGACCTAGGCTTACTAAGTCATTACAATACACAATTAGTCCCAAACAAATCTATTTTATTGTAACAGCTGAGAATTATGTTCATTCCCAGCTGAGTCCTAATTTGTTGCAAAACAAGTCCTTCGGAAGAAGTCCTTTGGGATAATCACCAACCTTTATCTTCTTTGACACCCTGCCAAAGGCCTTACTTGGCAAAGCCCCATGGAGTTCAGAAACAAACAAGAGATGCCGACTGGAAACAGAGTTAGCAACATTGCTTTCCTGCAAAAGGCCCAAGTGCCTTTGTTTCTCTTTTAAGCCTTATGGGAGGGGCCAATCATCTCCTGGCCTTACTCCCAAGTTGTCCCTTTTGGTTTTGCTGCTCTTACCTTCTAGCAGCTCTGTGCATGCACGCACTAGAAACAGGCTCCTCCTGTTCCTCTGCCTCTCTGCTGTCCGACTCTGGGGGCTCTGGAGTCTGCGCATCACTTCCAGCTGGCCCTGGCCCCATCTATGCCTCTGATGCAGAATCCTCGTCCAGGCCTTCCCCAGACTCCAGGACTGGCCCATGTCCCTCCCCAGCTTCCTCACTGTCCAACTCCACTGCCAGCTCCGCAGGCTGCTGGCGGACCACAACAGACGGTTGCCGTGTCCTGGGGTCATGAGATTCGCTTTTGTGACCTTTTGACAAGCGAAGCCAATGGGGAAGCCAGATTCACATAACAACCATGTTACTAACTTAACAACTGCAGTGATTCATGTAATAACTGTGGCAAGAAAGATTTTAAAATGGGGCACAAAATTCACTTAACTAATGTCTCACTTAGCAATAAAATTTTTTGGACTGAATTGTGATCGTCAGCCAAGGATTACCTGTATCGACTTGCCACATGCAGAAAACAAATGGCTGCATTTAATTGTAATGAAATCTGACTCAAGTTTATAAACTTATACAAGGAGGATTAACTTAGTTTACCTCTTTTTGTGAAAAAGGTTGCAACAGCTGGTTTGAAAAGCCAAAAATCCACAGTGGTGGCTTCTCTGGCCTTCAAAAGTGCCAGGAACTTCCCCACTCAAAAGAGGTTCTTTAGCCTCTTAACTGCAAATTCCTCTCTGACCTACTTGGAAGCAGAGCACCTTTTACACACAGTAGCAGCGTGTTTTTCAAGGTAAAGCGATCAATATCAGCAAAGGCCAGTGAAAAAATACTTAAAAGTGACTCATAGATAGCATTATATTCTTATACAAGTAACTAAAATTACTGGGAAAGGCTCAAACACAGAGATGGGATTCAACCGGTTCGGGTGAACTGATAGTGGTGACTGTGGGTGGGCCTGGACGTAATGCCGTCCTATTTAGCCATGCTTTTGCGGCTGGGCACATGGATGGAAGGTGTGTGCATGAGCAAAGCACATGTATAGAAGGCCGGGTGCATGTACAGAAGGTGCGCACGAGCGAAGCGAACGCGTGCATGGGAGGGCGAACTGGTGGCAAGAATATGTGAAACTCACCACAGCTCAAACAGTATAAGAGTTAGAAGTGTGGCAAAGCAGAGGACATCTCTAGATCACTGGTGGGTTTCAAAATTTTTTACTACCAGTTCTGTGGGTGTGACTTGGTGGGCATGGCATGGCATGGCGGGTATGGCAGGGGAAGGATATTGTAAAATCTCCATTCCCACCCCACTCCAGGGGAAGGATACTGTAAAATCTCCATTCCCTCCCCACTCCAGGGGAAGGTTACTGCAAAATCCCCATTGCCTCCTGATCAGCTGGGACTTGAGAGGCAGAGAATAGATGGAAGCGCGGCCAGTCAGAATTTTTACTACCGTTTCTCTGAACTACTCAAAATTTCCGCTACCGGTTCTCCAGAACTGGTCAGAACCTGCTGAAACCCACCTCTGCTCTAGATATACAGTGAGTCATTGTTTAATGTCCATTCGTTCAGCAACTGTTTGAAGTTGTAACAGTGCTGAAAAAATGGACATATGACCGGTCCACAAACTTAGGATCTTTACATGCTCCTGAAGTCATGTTCAAACTCAAATTCAGACTTGTCTGCATTTGCAACTAGCCGCTTGTCTCTGCCCATCCCCCCCTACCCTGGGGCTTTGCACTGTGGCACAAGCGCTATTGCAATCTTGTTTTTAGATCTTTTAAATTGACAACCAGTGCAGTTCATAGAGTACAGGAGTCAAATGAGCATACTGGAGCATAACAATAATTGCTTGCACTGCTGCTTTATAGACCCATTGAAGTTTCTAAGTGGTCTTCAAGGTTCATTCAATGTTGAATGTATTACAATAGTTGAACCATGAAGGGAACAGGGCATGAATGACTGTCTAAAGGGCCTCTGGGTTCTGGAAAGGTTGCAACTAGGAAAGGCAAAAAAGTCCTGAGACATCCCACAAAGAAGGGGTCTTGGGCTCACCATCTCCCAGTTTGCAAATATTGGCAAGGTCCTTCCAAAATCCAGGGGTTTCTGCATGCTTCTAACTTGAAGAAGTGAAGAGTGGTCTATTGGAAGTCCAATCACTTCCAATTTCCCTGGCTCTCAGGTTTTCCACAGCTTTATAACTTTTAACATCTCTAGAGAGTTAATTCAATTAAATGGGAAACAAAATATTACTTCATCGTCAAGAAGGATAAACTTACTTCTATCCCCCTCTCCTTGTTGAAGATTAACTGAAGTTTACACACCTTTCTCCTCCCATTAGTTTGCTCTGATTATAAATGCCATTGTAGCAGACAAATAATTGGAATGAGTTGACAGGGGTTGTAAATCACTAGCATTTACTTATATTTTGTGAACTTTCTTTGCAAATAGCAAGTTGCCTATGCATGAACGCATTTGCAGCTCAGCAGTGTAGCAGAAGGAAATACCTGCGAAAGGTAAGAAGTTGATTGGTTGGTTTTTTTGAACCAATCAAAATTTAAGTTGGCTTTCATCATCCTGCTGGTTCAAACAAAGCAAGATGCAGTCCAGGGTGGTAATAAGTGGAGCAGAGAGATTATACCCCAAAATTTTGTCTTTTTAATCTATTACAGACAGAGCTGAATAATGTTGGGTATCTGTGCAGGAAGGTGTTCTTTTACTTACAACTTCTCTTCCCTTCCGGACCCAGCAGTTCCCTATCTACCCAGCTCACCACAGCTGGTGAGAACATTTCCCATGATCCTGGGGAACCACCTTTGTTCAGCATTGAAATGTTAATGATTTATTTATTAATCACAATTATATGCTGCCCATCTCTTTGTATAAGAAACTTGGAGTGGCTTGAGGGTAGTCCAGCCCCATTACTACAATTTAAGCCTACATAATTTTCAGTGGTGGTATTCAGCTGGTTGTATCCGGTTCGGGAGAACTGCTAGCGGCCGCTGCGGGCAGCTCTGCTCACCTGCCCGGATGTCATCATGTCCTGTTTTTTGACACTTTGTGCATGCACGGAAGGTCCTGCGCATGCACGGAGGTGGTGCGTGCGCTCCCATTTGCGGACCGGTAGCGAAGGTAAATGAATACTGCCCCTGATGATTTTCTGTCAACTTAAGGACATTAAAAAAAAAAACTGAGGAAGATATCTCAGTTTCTTATAGAGACCAGAGGCCAGCAGGTTCTGACGGGTTCTGGAGAACCAGTAGCGGAAATTTTGAGCAGTTCGTAGAACTGGCAGCGGAAATTTTGAGTAGTTCGGAGAACCGGCAAATACCACCTCTGGCTGGCCCCAGAGTGGGGTGGGAATGGAGATTTTGCAATATCCTTCCCCCAGGAGTGGGGAGGGAATGGGGATTTTGCAGTATCCTTCCACTGCCACGTCCACCAAGCCACGCCCAAAGAACCCATAGTAAAAAAATGTGGATTTCACCACTGCCTGAGGTAATCCACTAATTTCCTTAGAGCTGTCCCATTAAGGCAGAGTTTTGATGTGTGTTTTGTTTTCCACACAAGCAGGAGCATCTTTGGGGAGGATCAAAAAAGTCAGGACAGTGGCTTTCAATTCCTCAGCCCTTTTCATGGTTGTAAGGCATGCAGAAAAGGAGCAGGGCTTTGATGTCATAGTCTTGGCTGCCATTTTGATTTCTTGACTTCCCCATTCCCTGTGGACACCCCTGCACATAAGCATATAGCTTATTTTGGTCAGAATATACACAGGAGTGGTGGGTTGCCCCCAGTTCGGACCGGTTCGCAAGAACTGGTAGTAAAACCAGCGGGAAGCTCTGCCCACCAACATGGATGTCACCCTAGGTGATCTGCACATGCTCCTGATGCGAACCAGTAGTAAAGATAAGTAGAACCCACCTCTGGTACACTGTCTCTATAAAAGCAAGATACTAGCCAAGGACAGAGCTGGAGAAATATCAAGAGTCTTACATGGTCTTAAAGTGCAAAAAAAGTAGTTAAAGTTTGTAGAGTACTAACAAAGACGGAATAAACCTATTGCAAAAGGCTAATAAAGATATCCTTCTGGAAATGTGAAGCAACATTTGACTAATGTTTCGTGGAATACCAGAAAAGAGTGAATTGTTACCAGCAGTTGTGAGGTGGCTCGTAATTCTCTTGATGTCCTAATCAGAACAAATCTGAACAAATTATGTAAAACTGGCAAGCACGTTTTTGTAAGATGGTCACAGAAAGTAGATCTTATACAACAGAATAGCACAAAATGTACATAGCAGTAGATAAGGAATGTCTACTTACAATTTAGGATTAGATTAAGTTAGTTTTATGCATGTCTACAAGAATTAAATATTTTTCAGTTCCATGGGATTTATGACCAGGTAAATGTGCACCACAATCTAGAACTATAACATGAACTCTTTACTACTGTATCTGCACTCAAAACATCTGAATATGCAAGCTTTTACATATTCTTAATAATCTTCGTATTCTTCCATATTCATGTAGTTAGCTTTTCATATTCTAAGAACAACTATTTTCTACAATTACATATCGATATTTATTACAGCTGAACACCCACCGGCAGATTTATAGGTGTTGTTTTTATTAATTCCAATGGTAAACTTTTCACCATCGTTTTTCTTACCTCTCCGCAGATACAGCAGTCATGGAATAAATGCTGACAAACATTGCAGTAACGGGAACAAAATTATGAAAACGGCAGAATCCCTCGCCAAAATACCAGACGTTATGACAGGCATAAATAAAATTAAAAACTGTGTTTAGGGCACTCATAAGCAGATCGGAAAGAGCCAAGTTCACAATGAAATAGTTGGTAACTGTTCTCATTCGCCGATGGGACAGGATAATCCAAATGACGGTGGCATTGCCCACGATCGATGCTGTGACTATCATTAAGTAGGCAATGGCCCAAAGTGCTATTTGCCATCCAGGCTGGTAAAATGTAGTCAGCTCAGTCAAATTAACATCATTCTCAAAAATCTGATCCTTGGAAGTATTGTTTATGCTTGAGAAGGAAACCATTCTCAGTTCTTTCTTCTGCTCAAAAAAACCAAAATCAAGAAATTGGCTGCAATTGACTCGATTTGAGGATCTCAGTCTTAATCAATAGAATAATGAGTTCATCATAATTTTGTAGACTGAATTTAGAAGCAGTTGATTCATCGCATTCCGGTTTTCAGTTGATGCAAATAAACGAGATGAGATTGCTGCTCTTTTACATTCATTTGCTGCTCTTTTACATTCATATTACCACAATTTGTGACAAAAAGAATTTTCTTAAAAATGTTGGTGTAATGTGTATGCATGTGAAAGAGAGAGACAGCGAGAGGAGAGAGAGAGAGAGAGATTAAAGAAGATACTGATAATGCAGCATGGAGTTGATAGACTTTAGTTTGCTCTCCCTTTGCAATTCAGACCATTACGGAAGCAGCCAAATGGGGATTGGAAATCTACACTGGCATTTCAAAAGGAGGTGGAGAGACAAGAGTATACAAAATTGTGCACCAAATCAGATTTCATAAAACCGGTTCCTTGTTGCTTTCCAAAGTTGTTGCATTAATCTATGTTGACTCTACCTTCCGCTTAAAGTGAGAAGTCTCCCAGATTTTACCCTACAAGGATCAAGACTTTAATTCCTTGGGTAATTTGACTTTTTGACTTCAGTGGGAGTTTCAATAAGCAGAATGTGGCCTGTAGAACACCAGAAATATTGCCAGAAGAGCTTGAGAACAGCCCAAAGCCAAGATACAGAAGACAGGAAAGTGATTTAGAAGTCCGAGGAAAACCCATATTTCAAAAAAACTGCCTACTAACTTTCAAAACATTTCTAGGCAATCCCAGAACCAGGATGTCATGCAGGATATGTTATCTTAGATTCCTAGAATATATTTTCTGCCACCTCTGTACCAGTGGCAGGTTTCAATTTTTTTTACTACTGGTTTTGTAGGCGTGGCTTGGTGGGCATGGGATGGCTTGGTGGGCGTGGCTTGATGGGCATGGCAGGGGAAGGATACTGTAAAATCTCCATTCCGTCCCCACTCCAGGGGAAGGTTACTGCAAAATCCCCGTCCCTCCCGATCAACTGGGACCCGGGAGGCAGAGAATAGATGGGGGCGGGGTATTTACTGGTTCTCCGGACTACTCAAAATTTCCGCTACCGGTTCTCCAGAACTGGTCAGAACCTGCTGAAACCCATCTCTGCTCTGTATTCAAAGGGCTCTTCAGTGTTATTCCAAAACCAAGAAGCAGCTAAGGAAAAGCATGTGGTCTCTCTCCACAATATGTATGGATAATATTTATTTATTTATTTATTTATTTATTACATGTATTTATATGCCGCCATTCTCCCGAAGGACTCAGGGCGGCGAACACATGTTAAGAAATGTACAATAAAATCCCATTTTAAACCAAATAACTAATTAATAATAAAACCCAAAATCAGAGTCAGCCTATTTGCTTGAACAGCCAAGTCTTCAGGTCCCAATGGAAGGAGCGGAGATCAGGAGCCGTCCGGAGCTTGGTAGGTAATTCATTCCAGAGGGTGGGAGCACCCAGAGAGAATGCCCTACCCCTGGGCACAGCCACACGACATTGGCTCGCTGTCGGAACCCTGAGGAGAGCAAACAGGACGGTGAGAGGCAGGCAGGAGAAGGTCCTGCAATTATCCCCTTGTGTGGGAATTTGTGACAATATGCTTCTGTCAAATAATCTTATATATTGCATTAAAGTTCAAGCAGGTCTGTTGATAATTACATTCACACATTAAGTGTGGTTGGTTTAAAACTTGGTTAGCTTTTTTGTGGTTTAGCATTCTATAAGATTATCAAGTTATTTTGTGGTCCAATGTACTGTGCGAATCCAGAAAAACTGGTTAATTCAATATCCATGTTCTGTAAGCATAACCAAAGTTTGCATTGCATAGTGATTGTAAAAAAAGCTCTCAACATAGAAACGCCACTCCCATTATACTAGCAGATTAATACAACTAAAACAAACAAAAACAAACTGATTACGGTAACTTCTAACATGATTAAAGGAGGAAGTTGCCTTAGCTTAGGATATAGCATGTTACCTATGATGCTGCATTTAAGTTTTCCCTTTATGCTGCTATTATCCCAAATGTTTAGTGTAACAGGCTGGGTTTGATTCATATGAATGAATAGAATTGTTCCATCAATTTCACAGGGAATAAATCTTGACAAGGTCTCAATTCAGTCCAGTGAGACGCATAACTCCAATTACTTACAAAGAATACAAGTCTTGTATATATTGTAGAAATGATATAACCTTTTGTCTTGCAAATTACTGTCTGAGGAAAACAAGCTAAAACTACACCCTGTATCCCAAGGTTTCCCAGCTTCAATTTCCTTGAGACCTTGGCCAGTTTTCAAACTCATTTGAGCAAGATTTTAGGTTTTAGATTTAGATTTAGATGGTTTTAGAATCAATTCATGTAAACCAATCCATAAACAAATTCGAGAACGCACTTACTTAAATTTGAATCTTTAAAATTTCTGATGAAAATACTTTTAGCAACTTTTGAAATTTTTCTCACAGGTTCAAATCTTGCACGACTGCATGAAAGAATGGAAAAGACCGACATAATTGGATATTCTGTATTTGACCTGGGAAAGTACTTCATTAAATTCCAACTAAAATGAATTTATATCTTACTTCCTGGATTTAATGGATTCTTAATGATTATTTTAAACAGCTGAACAGTATTTCCAATGGTAATTGCATGCTTTGATGGAAAGTTTCACAACTCAGCTGTTAGGTTTTATTGCTGGGCTTAAGCACTAAGGGGAGGTCTTCCTTGGGTTTAGCAGAAAGATTCTGCTCTGCTACTAAAGAAAGAAAATACATTTAAAGGTCACATGTAGGAAGTCCAGAAGAATTTCAAGCAAGTTTTTATATTTTTGCACAATGGAATTATTTATAAATCTTTAGCACAATTTATCAAGTAATACTAAAGTTTTAAGATACAGAGATGACCTGTGAATATAATTAAAAGAAGTGTGTTAGTAAACACAGGGGTTTTGTTAAAAGCTAAGTATAAGATTCAATGAGATGGACCATGTATAAAACCTGAAAGCTACTCAAATATGTTAATATTAGACACTGACACATTTCACAGCTCCTGTAATGCTGGTTATTTATTCTCAATCCCTTCATTCATTAGCTTGCTTGTTGGCAACGGGGCAAGAACAAATTCTGCAGTTGTTGGCCATATCAATGAGCTATTCTCCCTCAAGAAAATAGCTTTTTTGTGTAAGGCCTGAAGTGACACATTTCTCTCTTTTAGCTAGGTTAATATCAATCATGCTAGCTAAATGACATCATAACATTTCACTTTTTTCCTTTGAATTCAGTATGGGGATATAATGAGATTAATAATAATAATGAGATTAATAATAATAATAATAATAATGATGATGATGATGATGATGATGATGATGATGATGATGATTTTTGCCCTATAGAAAATTTTATTATGAGAAAAAGATTCTAACTGCAGGTTCTTTAGGCACCAACAATATATTCCACAGTGCTGGTGTAGATAATGCTACAATGCAATAAACCTTTAATGTTGTGAAAACATTTTTCATCCTATCTGCTCTTAAAAAGTTCCCTGCCATAAATCTCAAAAGAAACAGGCCCAAGCCAAGAGCTCCAAATCATTGCCAAACATAATAAAAGTGACCTCCACAGCAACATCCAGATCTTAAAGCACATTTACAGGTAAGTGGAGGTAAGAGCGTGTATTAAGGATTACCTTAATTAATTAATTAATCCATGCATATATTTCTCCACCTTATTGCATCTGCAGATAAGTTGCTTGGCAGCTCTGTTTTGGATATCTTGGTCCATTCTGGGAAAGGAGGGGTCAGGGAATCCATTGCAAGATCGTTATGAGGCTTATGCTAGACACACTGATGGACAGAGTTGCTGAGATTTGCTTGGAGATGGGACTTCAACAGTGGTGGGTCGCTACTGGTTCACCCCGGATCAGGTGAACCAGTAGTGGCAGTGGCGGGAGGCTCCGCCCACCTATGCATCATGTGCACGCGCCCACAAGCAAACCAGTAGCAATGGATTTTGAAACCCGCTCCTGGACTTCAACTGTGCTGGTCTTCTCAAGATGATTGGGATCCAGTCTTATGCAGTTACCTGGGCAGAGTTTGATCTGCTTCATCCTGAGGAAGTGAATAGGATCCTTGGGAGGTTGAATTCCACCCCTTATTAGATCCCTGTTCTTTCTGGTTTGTCTTGGCTGGATTCAAGTGAAGATGAGGTCTCTTTCCAGGAGGTGGTGGCTCTGCCCCAGTGGTGGAATTCAAATTTTTTTACTACCGGTTCTGGGGGCGTGGCTTGGTGGGCGTGGCAGGAGAAGGATACTGCAAAATCTCCGTTCCCACCCTACTCCAGGGGAAGGATACTGCAAAATCCCCATTCCCAACCCCCCTCTGGGGCCAACCAGAGGTAATATTTGCCGGTTCTCCGAACTACTCAACATTTCCACTACCGGTTCTCCAGAACCTGTCAGAACCTGCTGAATTTCACCCCTGCTCTGCCCACCTTAAAGGAGGTAGTGGTGTTGCCCTTTCCGCAGAGGTCATCACTAGACCCATCTGTACTTGGCAACTTTCGTCCACTCTCCAAATTTCTCTTTTTAGCTTGTAACTCCAAAAGAGGACGCGGATTATCTGGTTCTGTGCACAGGTGGAGTTTAGCCCCGAGACGGTATTGACTGCACATTCTGATGATCTCTGGTGGGCTCAGGATGGGGCTGATACATCTTTCCTAGATATCTCATGTCTTTCAGTACAATCCATCCTGGTGTCCTTCTGAACTAGTTGAGAGGGTTGGGAGTGGGAGGCACTGTTCTTCAGTGGTTCTGCTCTTCCTTCTGGAGTCAGTCAGTATTGATACAGGGGGAGAGATCCAGTCCTAGGTCCCTGCTTTGTGGATGCTCTGGAGCTCAACTCTCTCCCCTCTCCTATTAAACATCTACATGAAGCTGCTGGGTGAGCACATCTGCGGGCATGGAATTAATTATCATCAGGATGCTTTTTAATTTATTTCTTCACTTTCTATAGCTGTCCATCTCAGCCGAGTGACTCTGGGTGTCTTACAATTCTAAAACTATAAAACAGTTAAAACACTAAAAACATTAAAACATGTTACACTTCTTGGCCAGGTCATCCAAGTAATGCTGCTGAGATGCTTCCACAGTGCCTTGTGGCTATGCGGGGTTGGGAGAAGAACAAATTGGGCTGAATTCTGACGTCAGGGGTGGGTTCCACTTACCTTTATTACTG